CTGGGGAAACAGGAGATGAGAAGCCCTGGTTGATGCGGATGACGTGTTACATAACGCGGAGCCGGGGAAGATTTGCTCTTTGATTAGTGAGATGAGAAGCAGATTGATGCCCAGAAATATTTGAAACACCTTGCCTCAAGTGGGAAGTGGAGTTATTAGATTGCCTTTTGTTATTATGCTCAAGGCCGTCGCTCTCCCCATTTGGCGCTGCGTTTGGGCGCTGCTTTGGGGTAACCCGAATAGCACGGGCTACAAAGCACTCAGACCACAGCCGCCACATAGCGGTGAGCTGGAACTGCATGCGATTCTAACTACTTGATAAGTATACAGTCATCGGTGCCAGGAGCCTCTTTCCGGGTAAATGCTAGTTGCCACTTTTAGCCACTCTTCATTGTCTCCAACTGTGTGTGTTTGCGTGGAGTCTCACAGGGCAGGACAGCCGCTATCATTCAGAGGGTCACAACAAGCGCGCAGCACACCGTCTATTTATGTAATCAAACAATAATGGGTTTCCATTTAATGAATTGCCTCCGTAACCTCCATCCCCATCCGACAGGGAAGTGGTTCTATAAATGTTTGCATCCAATAGGCCCCTTAAATGACATGCTGCCCGAGAGCAGTGACTACAAAATCCTTTTATGGCCGCATTTATTTTCGTTGTGGTGCTGCATGCTCATTTGGCCGCAGTGCTGACTGAGCTCTTGTGTAAATTACAAAGTGAAGCTGGACTTGGGTTGCTATTCTCTGGGAGAGGTGGTGAGGAGGGAGAAAACAGAGCTGAGGTTGGCCCACATGGAAAACGTATGGATTAGTGCAGGCTTTGGGCCTACGTGGGAGTTTTTTTTACCAGAACAGGCTGATAAAAAGCACTAAAACTTGGAGTTTTTGGACTGGAATGGCCTAATGTTTGGAGTGTGTTTCCACACCAGCCCATGGTAACCTAGTAGTAGTCCAACGTATTCTGCATCTGCCCCAAAGCACCCAAAGTAAATAAGAAAATTAAGAAAGTGACTGCACTCTTTGAAATATGCATATGAACCGAACAAAAAACATTTGTTGATAGCAAAACACATACATTGGGAATAAACAAATGCTCCCACAGCACCACAAGGTTTTTAAAGAAATGCTTTTCTCAGTTCCAAGTCAATATTTGACTAGTAGAACAAAATAATAAAAAGATCCAACTGGTTAACAGCATGCAAACAAAATATTTTAGAAATGAAATCTGACAATAGTGCCAAAGGTTAAAGTTGTGATACACACAAAAAGGAGTTGGGTTAAAGTTTGAGCTGTTAATAGCACTCCCTGAAAAGGAGTTATTTGATGCAAAAACATAACCTGAGTCTGTTTGCTCTCTTGCAGTGTTTCCACGTGCCTTACTCCGCACTCACCATGTTCCTGAGCACAGATCAGAAGGAAAGAGACTCAGCCACCGCCTACCGTAAGCTCTTTTTAAAAAAGAATCATGCAAAGACTTCTTAATGCCTGCACAAAAATTAATTTATCTCGTGCCTAGCCTCTGATTTGCACTAAGGGGGAATAACTTATTCCACCCTGACTGATGAATTTTTGCATGGGTGATGACAGGAATGACGATGGAGGTGCTGGGAACTCTTGTGGGCGCTGCCATCCAGGGCCAGATTGTGGCCAGTGCTCACACTCGGAAGCACTGTCCCACTCACAACACGTCTGCCAGTTACCTTGGCAACAGCAGTGGGGCAGAGATCGTCAAGAGCCTGGTGCACTCGCAGGACTACCTGTCACACGCTGTAAGTGTCTCTGTGCCAGGCCAGGAGCTCAGGTGTGCTAAAAGGAGGGCAAAGAGTTGCTGTGAAAACAGCGCGGCCTGCCGCAAGCCTTTCCTGCTGAACTCGGAGCAGCGGCCGGGTTTATTTTTTGCAAAGCACACAAGTTGAATGAAAAGGGCGATTGTCGAAAACCGGCCCCATATTTCCCGGCCGTCTAAAGGTTCTGACACTTAAAAAAACGCGCCCATCTGAACCCGTGTAATTCCTGGGATTGAAAGGAGACGGATGCGTTTGATATCTGACCCTGCCGTCCTGAGCCGGCTGGTGACCGCAAAGGGTTTCCTCCCTCACATCAGGCTCCAGCAGCGGCCCTGGCGGGTCGAGGGGTCTCCGCCGTCTGCAAGTCATTTACACCCCACCCAGATCAGCACCCCGCGTGTTCTCTGCTGCAAATGCTGGTTTTTTACTTAGAGTTAGAGGAGAGGGAACATAAAAGGAAAAAGTTATGTCCACATGTCGGTTTCAGGAGCTGTGAATAAACACAAGTTGTTGCAATCAGTCCGTCATGGGACCATTTAAGAAGCGGAAAGCTTCCCCCGTTGGATTACAGTCGCACCGCAGCTATTTGGGCTGCAAATGTTTCTTTTCCATTGGATTTTGGGTGAACCCCATCGGGGGGAACCCACTCACCGCACCAAACCCTCTGCAGCCACCCGCTAAATTCTCCCGCGGTCGCTGGTGAGGGTGGCACACCGTCTGGGCAAACTCAGTCTGCCCTCGGAAACAGGGAGCGTTTGATGTGCATAAATAATCATGTTCCGCTGGGCCGAGCCGCATGGAAAAATAGCAAACAAACAGAGGCTGTTTAAGCCGGAGCAGTTCCTGTCGGGGTACAAGAGCGAACGCTGACGTCTGTATTTCGGGATACTTGAGGTTTCTCCCCGTTTGTGCTGGTGTGTGCACAGTGAAGGGTGTGCTGCAGGCTATATCTCACACTGGTTTTAAAAGCTACACAGAATAAATGATACAATCGTTCTCATAGAGTATTAGATATATTATGTTTCAAGCACAGACACTCTAAAAAGATATAATAATCAAAGTGCAAGCCGATGCTTCCTGCAGCATTTTGTCACCAGAATGGAAGTCGAGAATGATGAAATGAAGCGCCTTAGTGTTTTAGAGCATTTGAGAGCATTATGAATTAAAGATTGCAAAAAGACTCAGAATAGACTTGGTTTTGCTTGCTCTGTGAGAAGAGATGGATAGATATAGGTCAATACTTTGTGTTTGTTCTTTCCCTCTGCAGAAGGAGATGTACATGATCGCTGCCGGGGTGATTGGGGGAGTGTTCATCATCTGCACAGTGGTGATGTTCCTGGGAGTCAAAGAGCGAGATGGTGAGACTCCACCGCTATTTGATCTGGTTTGGTAAATCAGTCTGCATGTTTCCCCTTATGACCTTATCACTGTCTTTCAAAACACGAAGAGAGAGCTTTTAACTGAAAAATAATACTGTTGTTGATCGTAACAGGTCGCAGTGGCATCCAGAAAACATTTTCTTGTCATTAGTTTAATTTTAAGAAGGGGGGAGGGGGGGATTCCAACATTTTTTTCTCTCTATCTAAACAAACTTTTTAAATAAACCAACTAACTTTAATTCAAAATTTGGGGATCCTTTTTGGATATAGAACTGGTTTAGTTTGGCCTGAAATAGTTTTCCGGTCTTCATAGAAGTGCAGGGAAATATTTCAAATGCACTACAAATAACACAGCATGCAAAGTATTGCAACTGCATTATCACATTACTTTTTTATATAATTGAAACGACTTGAAAAAGGTTGTTTGCAAATATAACCTTAAACGTCATCATAGGCCCCTCGAAAGTCAGCCGTGTTTCTGGGTCTGGTTAAGCCTTGTTTATCCATTTACACGCAAGTTCTTTTTCCTAAATATTGTGGCATCTTTAGGGCTTTTTTGGACTGCGTGTCAGAAATGTCCAGTCATGGACGTAATCAAAAATAATCTGCTCTTTTGGATTTGGGTTTGTTTTGTAGCCACAAGTCCTGGGTGCCTAGTAATCTTTTCTCTTCTTTTTTTAAAACTCCTCTGTGCAAACTGGAGTCAAACACTGAGCCATTTTTGTGAAGTTTTGGAGAAACTGACCCATGTGGTGTTAAGGAAAGAGTGCGGCTGGCAGAGGATTAAGGTTTTTGATAAATCAAAAAGAAAAACAAAAAAAGCAGAGAGCAGCGGGAAACGTGTGAGTCTAGATATGTAGACGTGGAACAATGATACAACTGGGATCCAAAGAAAACTAGAAATACGAAGGCAAGGGAGCGAAGAGGGGATGGAGCAGAGTCCTAATACGTTATAATGACGACAAGGTGTGACTGAAAAGGGGGTAAAACCCAGCAGAATGCGCAGGGGAAGACAGAAAAATAAAACAGAAAGTCAGAAAACTGTGATACGAGCTGATGAATAACTGACAGAGATGGACCATAAAGCGAAAGGCTGATGCAGGACCCGTTATATCAAAACACAAAAGCCCGTGGGACACCTGTAAACAGACCCATCCACGAGTCAGCAGCAGAGTGGCTCTAAATAAAATATGAGTTATGATATTTCATTTTTTGAATGTCAGATTTTTACTATTAAGTGTCCCGCTAAATATCTGTGAAAAAAATTCACTTTGGTTCCAAAGAGATTTAAAAAAAGGAAAGAAATATTTGTGTGTCTTTTTTACCGTGTATATTTCAAAGGGTTAAGACCTGATGAAAACCAGATTGTTTTTTTCAAATCAAGCCCTGATGTAGAAAAACAGGAGTAGACATTGAATTGTGAATTCAATTAAAGGTTAAGTGGCTCCTTTCCCATTTGACAGCCATGTTTAACATACGGTATTTATTAATGCATTTGTTGTGTAACTTGCAGATAAATTATTCATTGGACACAATGATCACATATAAGGATTGTTAAACATATACATGCATGTATAAACATACAAACATATATGTAACATATATAGGCTACCTAAAGTAATAGCATTCAGTGCCTTTAAGAGGGACAAACAGCATCCGCTGCAATGCAGGGGCAGTTCCAGTCAAAGCAATAAAAAAATCTATCCTTTTGCCCTCACTGCATGTTACCTGATATGCTGCCTGCTTATGTCCTCATTCCGTGTGTTTCAGATCCCTACGCCCCTAAAACAGAGAAGCAAGTCAGTTTCCGGCAGGCCTTCGTCCTGGTGATGAGGCACGGACCCTATCTGACTCTGACCGCCTCCTTCCTATTCATCACAGTGGCGATCCAGGTAAATTTATCGGGGGAAACCCACCCGGACACGACCCCTCGCAGTAAGGGGAGCCCCTGTCGCGCATCGTGACGGCCAGCCGCTCAATGCTGATTGGATCAGCACAGGGGATGGCTCGCTCAAAGCTCCCACTCTGAAAGCCTGTAGTGGGGCCTGTTGCGGTGCCAGCTGAGCGCCCGTCTGACGCTCGCCCGCTTTAGCGCTCTTTGGGGTTATTGCAAACTTTCAGAGGCTGGCGATGGATCGGCTTTTGCATATCTTTCCCTCCATCACCTCAGACGGATGTGTCAGCTGTCATCTGCGGGAGCCTCGGGGTGGGAACAGATGTCAGCAGCCTCTCCAGGCTCCTCATGTGTCACAACAAGCCCCCCCCCACACACACACCCCCACCCCCCCGTCGACGGTGCTGAGTCGTGCTGAATATCTAAACGTGTTCTCTCTGCTCTCTGCAGCTGATCCAGAGCAACTTCGTCCTGTTCTGCACATACGCCGCCGACCTGAGGGATCACTTCCAGAACATCGTGCTCACGATCCTGGTGAGCCGACGGAACTCGGTTCCACACCATCAGGTTTCTGGGATGACCCTCTAGTCTGACTGCGCATCTTTACACGTCTGCTGTCCCGCGCAGGTCTCCGCGGTGATCAGCATACCCTTGTGGCAGTGGTTCCTGGAGCGATTTGGGAAGAAGACGGCAGCTTTTTGTGGTATCACGGTAAGCGGGATTCTTCCTTTCTTTTGTTCGTTCTGGCTCTCAGTGCCGAACTTGGACTCCAGCACCACCTGGTGGTGGATTTACGAGGCCTCGGGTAACCAAAACCCTGCTCCTTGCCTCTCCGTTTGCGTTTCTGTGCAGTGGATCATGCCCTTCACCATGATGCTGGTCTTCATCCCGGACGTGGCGGTGGCCTACGTGGTGGCCGTCTCCTCTGGGCTCAGCGTGGCCGCGTCGCTGCTGCTGCCGTGGTGAGACATGTCAGAGGTCGTTTAGCGCCGCGCCGCCGCACCTTTCGGCTCGGTGGCAGCCAATCAGAATTGAAACCTCCCGTACCATCCCAGAGCTCCGGCAACACCGGCGATAGCTTTACATCTGTTTGCCAGTCGTTTCTATGGCGGCCACCGATCCCCACTCATCTCCTGTTCCCCTCCCTTTAAACCCAAATTATAGCCTCCCGTGGGGGCATGTTTATTTTGGAAGGGGCCGATTGTTTATCCTGTCTGTGGGCTTCAGCCGGGGGCCCGCCTGCTGCTCATCATCTAATCGTGTTATTAGCTCAGTAATTTTAGGAATAACAGAACTCTGCCCACGTCTTTACTAGCCGTGCCAGATGATTATAGGCAGCTCGTAAGGGAGGCCTGACAGACGTGTGGGCTTAAAGTTTTGTGCGTTTGTTTGCATGTGCCATCCAGGTCCATGTTGCCAGATGTGGTGGACGACTTCCGACTGGCCAACCCCCACTCCAAAGGCCACGAAGCCATCTTCTACTCGTTCTACGTGTTCTTCACCAAGTTCGCCGCCGGCATCTCCCTGGGAGTGTCCACCCTCTGCCTGGAGTGAGTCTGTTTTAGCTCTCATACCTGCCATTTCTCCGGGGGGAAGTGCTCCCAGAACAATCAGGGCAGAGCGGTTGGGTGCACGACCGCATGCAATGGACTCAAACTCAAACCCTAACCCTACCCTAACCCCAACCCCAAGGTGAGTAACTGTGTGGTGCACAGCGAAGGGGGACTGCCTTTGGTCACATGGGCTGGCCGGTGCCTTACCCTGGATTCCCCACACAAAATCTAGTGAGTCCATTTGCTATGGAGGGGGGAATCATTGAAACAGATTCCATGAACCTAACCCTAACCCTAACTCTTTCGTTACCCCGCTCATTGCAAAAGTAGAGGATCGGAAGCCATAATTCATCCCATAAAAAGTGCGGGGCACCAATTTCCAGTCCTGTAGAGCCAGACTCCATGTGGATTTAATGTTGCTAGTTTTTTTTCAAAAGCATCCCTTGATTCTTTGTGTGTGTTTGCGTCCGTAGGTTCGCTGGATACGACACCGGTGCCTGCAAGCAGCCCCTTCCTGTCGTGTACACCCTGAAGCTGCTCATCGGTGCCGCCCCAGTGGCCTTCATCGTCACAGGGTTATTGATCCTCCTCCTGTATCCCATCAGTGAGGACGTGCGCCGCAGGAATAAAATCTGTCTGGAGGAGCTACGGTGTGTAGAAATCATTAATGGACACCTGAGGGAAAAAACCCTAATCCTTCAGCTTCAGTGATCTTTGGCTTTGAGCTTGGTTTGCTCCTCACAGACAGTTGTATAGGACCCTCTGTAACTGTGGAGTACAGCACACGCCTCTAATGTATATGCTGCAGTGGTACGAAGCAGCAGAACATGTAAATACCCAAGTACTGATACCTGCAGCTCCTGAATACATTTACAGTAAATTCGGAGAGTTTTGAGACCCTCTGAAGGCATTTTGTCACATTTCACACTGACACTGGTTTAATTCTTGGCCCGTTTCCTCCTGGCACTACACACAATACCCCTCGAAGAAAGACAAAATACGGCTTACCGCAGTGTTTTGCTAATTTATTGATTGTTGTAAGAAGAAAACAACGTGTTCCCATAATTACTCAGACCCATCCAGCCAACTCAGCCGCTCGTCTTCTTGGAAATAAATCCGCGAGGCTGGCATTCCTTTCCATTGGAGGAGCCTCTCAGCTCCTCTCAGCAGAAACTTGCAAAATCAACTGGCTCGGATCGACTTCTCAACGTGGTGTGTGCTCAGGCTGTTTTGGCTTAAAGGAGCTCGACCGCTTCTTTACAAAGTGTGAGAAATACCTGCATCAATGGATTATCGCAGCCATTCGATTGGACAAAACAGCCCCCGGCCACCGATTTTGTGTTTTTGTCCCAGTGGAAAACTGCATGTAGAATAGTTGTGGGGAAAAAAGAGGGTCTGGAAACTCTGCGCATTTACTTTCTCACACTCCTATGAATGTAGCACATCACTGACACTGATGTCTCTCGCAGGAAACAAAGCATTGGCTCCAGAACAGTGGAGGATTTGAGTAACGTGTGAGCTGGATCTTGAATGGAGTGAATTCACAAAGCCACGGATTCCAGCATTGCAGCTGGAAGTTGTTCTTTAGTGTATATTACACTGACAAGTACTTCAATTGTTATAACGTAAACAGTTTTTGTTTCATTTCCACGTGTATTGTACAGTCTCCTTGGATATACAAACATATAAGAGTATCTAATTTATAGAGATGAATGTATATCATTATTTTGCTGTGTTTAGCTCTACAACACTTGTTATTTATTTATGATACGATTACCAAAATATTGATATGAAATGAATAAATGTTGTTGAGCCTGATTTCTAGCCCCTTATTTTTGTATTGTGTAAATGGAGCAAAAACTAACATAAGCACTACAGATGCAACGTCAAAGTTCTGCAGTACCTTACTCTTTTTTAATTTTATTTTTGCTAATCAGAAGTGAAACTTCCAATGAGTACATGAGCAGGAGACGTGGGAGATTCTGTAGGCTGGTGCTCCCTCTTGTGGTGGGACGATACAAAACAGGAGGGGGAGAAAGGCTTTGGTTTTCCTCTCTTGAACATGTTACAAATACCTTTTTTCCCCCCAACAAGCCGCACCAAGTAAGTACTTCAGCTTAAGGATAAAAGCATAAAAGAAACAAGGTGTTTTATGGGTATATCGGTTGGCTTGACATCATACAATTTCTACACAATTCTTCTGCACTCAAGTGATGAATTCTAATAAATAAACAAAATGTTTGACATCAAAACAGGCAAAAAACATGTCATAAAACATCCTTAAAGACAAATTCAGCACCCTTTCCGGACAGAAGGTGTCCTGCCTTCTCTGCCTTCAATTGACAGAGAATGAATTCTCTATTGAGAAGAGAACGGACAAAGAAGAAAAATACACGGCTCGTTTCTTCGTTTATTTCGATTCAGTTTCGAAGCAGCAACACGTTGCACCTGAGGGATGTTACTACGAAGCGAGTTAGCCCAGTGTCTCCTCTCTGTGGGCACACAAAGAGATATTTCTGAGAAAAAGAGCAATACTTAGGCAAAAAACACAGCTCCTACTGTTTGGCAATAGTTTTAGTTGCTTTATAATGTGGGAATTACATGAATCATAAAGGATCAAATTCCTAATAGATCAAAGGTTGATTAAGTCAAAGTATTTCTGTAAACTGTAATCCTAACACCAACAGCTGTATGTGCTGCACTGACTTAACAAAGTGGTCATATCTATGATTTTCTACCTGTTATTTGACAAAGTTTTATTTAGCTTGGGTTAAGTGGGTTAAATTTTCTGCCAAAATCTGAGATTAACTCTGGGCTGGGGCGCTTTAAATGTTGCCTAAGTCTGACTTCTCTTTCTTGGAAAGCGTCAGATCCGGAGATTCTTGATAGCAGGTTAGAAACTGGGTCTTGGACACCGCGGTGACCTGTCCGGGTAAAGGGAAAAGCCACCTTTGTGATGGAGGGCTTAACACAGCTTCGTAGTAAACCTGGCGGAATGGGCGGCCATTTTTTTTCTAATTTGAATGTTTTCATTTAAAAAGCTGCCGTCTGGCTCTGCGGCATCGCTGCAGCTCGCCAGTTCTGCTCTGTTTGGGCTGAAGGCCTGAATCCAGGCAAATACAAGAGGAAGACATCTCTAGGAGTCCATCTTTGGAGGAGTGACTGAGGGCCTTACTAAGTGGCTGACTCTGCGGTTGCAATGGGACTTTGGCTGGGGGCTGGACTGGACGGGCACGAGTTCTCCGGACTTCCGGGGGTCCGCAGGGTGGATTTCCTCTTTCCATTCCGCACCGTCAGCTCCTCCTTGGGCTTAAATGTCAGAGGCAAAAAGCCGTCCGCGTCCGCCACAAGTACAATCCACAAAGGTCCTGGAAAAGAAAACCAAAGCAAAACGTAAACAAACAGGCCCATTGAGAAAAACAGCAGTTTTACTGGTCTTTTTTACTGGTTTGGACAGCTGGACTTCGCCTCAACAGCAACAAAAAATTATGTAATTAAGAGGGGTAAGCTTCTTGTGATCCAAAGCTTGTAATCTGACCTAGACTGCTAATCACTTCCAATTATACCGTAGGCACGTTACAGGAAGAACAATACCAGGGCATAATGCTAACTGGAATAAAGGAATAAAGTGCATCCTGAGTGGGTGCAGGGAGGATTTTTTTTAAAAGGGAGAAAACAGATAGCTAGAGCCCATGCCACGTGCTCGCTTTAAGTCCACCAATGGTACACATAACTAGAGGACGACAAGGAGTTTCCTAGAAGTGCTTTTCATTAATTGAACCCGCAGACTCTGTCACAACACGGTTAATCTCGCATGCAACGAGAGGCAAAGCCAGCTTTGCTTTTGGCTTTGAGGTAAACAAAAAGCCAACCGACTGAGAACGCTACAGTGACCTGGCCTCTGTGCCGCCCTGTGCAGTTTTTTCCTGTGTCTGAGGGAAGATCTGGCCTTCTGCACCTACCGTACATCATCTCCACAATGCTGAGGTTGAAGAGGTCTTGCAGGGCACGCAGACACAGCTTTCCCTCACACAGCAGCACCGGCCTCCTCTCATCAATGAAGACGTTTTCTGATAACTGTTTCTGTTCGTGGGACATGATGGAGATGGGGGGAGTCAAAAACGCTGTCATAGTAACATAAACTGATCTGGCATTTGATGTGCATGCTAAAACTATAAGATTCTAATCCTTGCAATAGGCAGTGGTGAGAGAAATCGACATAATAGACAAGAGGTGCAGCTGTTACTCCTGCACAGTGCATTAAATACTGTGTACTGAGGCCTTGTAAACAGTAAGCTATCAAATGCATGGCGGTGGGGAAGACTCTACCTGGCATGTGACGTTGACGTATGGAGGCTCGCTGGCATTGGGGTAGACACTTGATGGCTTCTTTCCGTTCTGTGTAAAATCTCTGATTTCCGTCATGCACTGCTGCACATCTGCAAAGCGGGTAAAAAGCCTCTCCATGTTGTGGACCAGCTGCTCCAGGGCCTGCTCCTTGGCCTGGCTGGACGTCTTACTGGACGCAGGCAGTGCGGGGTCCGCGTGGACCTTCTCGGACGGCTCGAAGCGAGGAGAGCTGGCCCTGCTGGACTCCCTGCTGACCTGGCTGCTCACCGCCAGGCTGGCCATTCGGCTGACGGGGTCCATGTCAAAGTTCTCCACCGTGATGGAGGAGGTGCTGGACAGGGGTCTGTCTGGTCGGTCGGAGAAGTCCGCCGAGCTGTTGACGGGGCTGGGGTCGCTGCTCCTCACCTCTTCCACCAGCCTGCGTCTGTTCCCGGGCGAACAAACAACTCCTCTTCCAGGCAACACCAAGTCTTTTATCCCTTGGCGCTCCCCGTCATCCTTTGACAGGTGCTCTGAGTGCCTCCTAATCCTCGCGGAGAAATTAACAGAAGACTCGTGGCTGTGAGCAGAGGGGGATGGTGAGGTGGGTGTGCCTGTGTCGTATATCAGCTCTTTGGCCATGAGTCGCAGGATATATTTGTCCGTGTTGGAGGATGGGAGGAAGGCGGGGTCGCTGGTCTTCTGCCGGCCCACCATCAGCAGCAGCACCTTGTCACTGAGAAAGCAGAGCCCTTTGGGCCTGTCGTTCTGCTGCAGAGAGATCTGCTGGATGTTGGGCATCGCAGAGGCCGTGATACAGTACACAAGAACCATGTTGCAGGTGTTGGAGGCCACCGCAACCGTGGAGGCACGTGGGTCGAAAGCCACAACGTCGGGGACCAAAATCCCCGGGATGCTGACTTTGCGCGTGGTGGTGACCTTTCGCTCATAGGTTACCAGGACCAGGTGTGAGCAGTCCTGGCCGGAGCCCGTCACGGTGTCCCGGCGGCGCAGGTGGATCAGGGGGCTGGGGTCCGAGCGCCGGTGTTTGGCCAGGAGGTGGGTGAGGTCCAGAGGGCCGGAGCTGGGGATGTAAGACCTCTCCGACTCGAACGATCTCCTCCTCGATTCTAGAACGCTGTCGTCCTCCGACATGGCCACGTGGGAGCTGTGGCCCGGCAGGGGCTCCGATTCCGAGTGCACGTCAAAAGCCATGCCAGCGTTCAACCCGCAAAGCCTGTCGAGCGGCAGCTCCGTCGCCACGGCGACCTGAGCCTCCCCCGTGGCCTCGATGGCACAGATGTAGCCCCCCACGTCGAAGATGGGGCAGAAGGAGCACGCCACCAGGCTCTTCTGGATGTCGTTCCAGATAAAAGAATGCAGAGCGCTGCTTATGGCCACCACCAGGCGCGTGCCATCTTTAGTCCAACAAGCACAATGAATGAGTCCCCCACCTTTGATGTCCGCCTTGATCCGCCTGTTGTCCACCCTGACGGAAAACAGCACAGAAGTGTCCCTCTTAGTCAGCACCGCCAGAATGTCCAGCTTAGGATGCCAGACACAGCCTTGGGAGAGCAGAGGGAAGGGCTCGCTCATCTCGCAGGTCTGCGTGCACAGCAGCTTGTTCTGCTCAAGAGCACTGAGCTGCAGCTGCCACACCGTGATATGCTTTTTGTGCTGGACGGCCAACAGGGCAGGAGAGTCGGGGCAGCACAGCGGGCCCCAGGACAGCCCAAAGACGTGCTCGAACTGACCGATGACGTTGGTGTCCCCAAACTTCACTTCGCCATTCACAAAGTAGAGAGAGGTCAGGCAGACCTGTTTTCCGTCTGTCCACGCGATCCCATGCACGGGGTGGATGGCTTGGTGTAGAGTGTTGAGTCCCGTCCTAAGCAGCTTTGCCTTGCCGAGATCCATCCCAGCAAGGAAAGGAGGAAGCTTTTTCCAAATAGAAAAAGGACAAAAAAACTTGTTTCAGAAAGCCAGCATTGATGACAGACCTGTATCTGATCTGAAGAAGGCTTGGACAAGAGCAGCTATTGCAACCTCTGCAGATTAAGAATAACACAAGCCTCCTTGTCCCCTTCCTAGTACATGCCTTAATCCTCTCCTGCCTTAGTTGAGGTTGTGGTGACGAACACCTATAGCTGCTTACGCCGGATGACCTTAGACACACGGCTGGGAGCTAAGGGTATTAACAGCACTTACTTTTTGCAAGAGACCCTTTTGGCTGTCACCCTAACAAAAATAGATTTTCTTTCCTTGAGGGATTTAGGTTTAACCGGATTTAGAAAACAACAATTTAAAATTAGAAGGGCGAGCACCACTAAAAATATACGATCCAGAGTAAGCGGAACAAGGGGCAACACTCTCAAAAGACTCGAATCGGATATCGGCTTGACTTGAGAAAATATTTATAACGTGCGGGTTTTACAAGCGTGTGTTTTTAATGACAACAAACTATACACTTCGTTGCTGTGTATCTATTTCTTAACGAATAAGTTGAAAAAGTGGTAGTAAACATAAAACTCTTTTCCAAATTTACCTTAAAACACCGCAGACACCTCACATATTAGTCTTGAAAACGACGAAATGATGGGTTTCCAAAGATACCGGTGGAACAGTTCGCGTTTTACCGGTTAAATGCGTCTCCAGCGTTCTTTTGGAAATGACTCGGAAGTAAAGCGAACCAGTAGGCGAGATGCATCATGGGGTATGTAGTTTACCTGTGACAGCTTGGCTAACTCATCCAGCTTGCTAGTAGAGCAGAATGACAGTTTTATCTTCCAGTTTAGATTGACATAAAAGCGGTTAAATCAGCAGCCGGATAAACTTTAAAAGGAAAATCACTACAGTTAACCAGATAAAGAAAATTCAACTTCCATGGCAGCGAACTACATGGCACAGCCGCTGTGTGGCGCGAGTATACAGCAGACGTCTGTAATGTAACTGTAGTTCTCGAGGCTGTATTTGGACGCTGTCTCGCGACAAAATCTGTAGTCCCCGACTCACCGGCTGAAGCTGCGGTTCGGTAGTGGTCGGTGAATGCATGGTCCCCATCTATAAAGCCCGACTTTAAGTCGCAAAGGGGTTACACTGACCGTAGAAAGGGCGTTTTTTAAGCTTTATGCTTTATAGTTAATCATTTAAGCAGCACAAACATGGGTGTGGAAGTCGAGACAATATCTCCCGGCGACGGTGAGTAGATTCATCAGCTTGTGTGCGCTTTGATGCGGGATGGAAGTAGCGGTGGTGGCTTTGGAGGGGTGGCCCGGTAATTCCCCTTGCGGGGCTCGGGAAATACACTTAAAACTACATTTTACGTTTCGGGGTGTTTGGAGACGAGGGGCGAGGACAGGTTACTATTCATGCGACAATTCGAGTTGTTTTGGGGATGAACTCATCATCACTAACCGCCTACACGGCATCTTCCCAGAGCTATCCAATCTCAAACTATGTCTAAGTAAAATTACAGGACGCTGAAAATGAAGAATTTACCCTTAAGGTGACCGGGGAGCTTGTGCTCCTCTAACCGATGCGTGAACATCATTTCGAGTCCCACCGTGAGCGGCACAGCCGAAGGGCTCCTGGTGGTGACTCTTTTAGTCAAAAAGCACCACCGCCAACACTTTTGGGTGTATCTGATAGTCTGCTACGCTCGGTGAGAAAATTGGCCAAAAAACACACAGTCTAACGTTTCACCCGGATGATGAGAGGGACAGACCCCACTTCAAATATGTCTGCAAGTATTGGGGTGGGGTGGAGGGTTACGACATTCCTGTCAGGAACACCAGACTTAATGCGGCCATCGCAACTGACACTAGGCTGAATACAAGATTAGCCCCTGAGACTGCACAAATATACAATAACATGAATTGTCTCTCTTCTTTTAACAGGACGGACATTTCCAAAGAAAGGCCAGACATGTGTAGTTCATTACATAGGTAACTATGTTTATTTTCTACTCCCTTTTTTAAAAATGTAGCAAGCATAAAAACCCTGCATCCTTCCTGTCCATGCTGAAGGAGGACATTGTTCCCTCTTTTGGAGAATATCTGCAGCTCGGCATGGCTCAGGTTGCAAGCTGCTCTGACAATGAGCATTCTGCTGAACTCTAATGCACCTGCATGCGGCTCATTGTCTCAAAGAAATCCTACCCAGAAGACTCCACTGGCAGAAAATATGAATCAGTGAATGAGCAATCTGCCCTTTGATTGTGTTGGTAATCTTCTTTTTTATGTACTCAATTTGTTCGTCGGGAGAAAAAAACCATGCACGCGGGCACACAAATGCTTCATTTTTCCTGTTTGTGTCTTGTCAGATTGCCCGCTTTTGAGGTGGGGCACTGAGACGCTGATACGTTTGGGAAATAAATTTGGGCTGTTCTGTGCCCTGGGGTCGTCAGCTCAGACAACTAGGTCAGACAGAAAGTAAACAAAGCCTGCTTTGCATGTCATCTGTGGACCGTCTGAGTATCACATGGTTGGGGTTATAGAAGTTATTACACACAGTCTGGTGGTGGATCCAGCCGGGGGGGACAAAAAAGCAGGTTACATGCCAGTGTGAGGGTTTTCTTTGTGTGGGGACCATGCTGTGTGTTCCAGTATTAGTTGGTCAAGCCTTGGAATTTTCTCAAATTTTCACTAATATTATAGTCTAGTAGTGTAATATTTATGATCAACTGTCTTAAATATTTCCAGTGTTGCAACCTTTGAAGTAGACAGTGAGCATTGGGTTGTTTAAATATTTAGCGGAGCGCAATCAAACTTCTATTTGGGGCTTGAACGCAGCTGAAATGAGCTGCTGAGAGGACAAATGAGGCCATAATTGGAAGCGCTGTATCTGAAGATGTGAGGATGAGCCGCTGAGATCCAGCGCGGATTGACCTGCAGTCCAGAACAGTGACAGTTAAAAGGTCTGATGTGTCTCTCCCTGTGGTTCTGGAGCATAATTCAGTTTACACCCATCTTTCCCACTGTGGGATGGCACGCATCACAAGCTCTAACTCGCTTTTCTGCCTTGTTTTCGTTCTCTGCTGTCATAATCACATTAGGCGCAGTTGTCTTTACTCGTTACATCCCGGAGTGAAACAGAACCGGCTGCCATGCTCTCATCTCTTGAACAAGTCTAATGTGCCCGAAAAAAGAGAATTGAAGGTACTTTTTGGTTGATTAAGTTTATTTCAGTCAGGCTTTTAAGGCAATGAGAATGCAGAGCAGTAGCAAAAGGCTGTCATAGAGTTTGTGGCACATTATTTAAAAGAAATATTTTTTTCCTACATTATTATATTTTTATTACTGAGAATGTCCTTTGAAAAGCCTAACGACTACACTGACAGCATTTGACTGGAGCAGCACTCTGCCATTGTTGAGTTATTTTAAAGGCTTAACTTTAAATGTCAGTCTGAGCTTGTTTTATTCAGGTCCTCCCCGTCTTTGTTTTCCTTTTGCTTTTGATTCACAGGATTATTCGTAAGCTGCTGGTGTTTTGGTGGCAAACGCACACAAAATACAGAGTTAAGCCAAAAGCAGGCCTTGACTCGTGGAGCACAGAAAGCCAGAAACATGTTGTTGTTTTCGTTTTTTTCGTTTGGCAGGGGGAGAGCGATTGTAGTGGTTTTAATAAGAAAAGAAAATAAGCGGTTATTGATAATGGATGGATGGATAGTTGGAAAACACAGTTAGCATGAATGAAACTAATGGGGATTTTTCATTCTACATAATTATATACCCTTTTTAATTTGATCCCAAAGGGCACATTTGTTGTATGAATTACTAATGAATATGGGACACAAAATCACAGATAACGTCCAAGACGCAGAAACATGGCAACGTTTTACAGTTGTGAAAAAATACTACAAACCCCGTTTTTTTTTTCTGCTACCGCTCTGTCTGAAGTCTCCTTCTACCTCTGAGAGTGGCATAGAAGTGCTAAAAGTGGTTCTTGGTCTGCTTTGCTTTACATTAGCACCTATTTGTTACCTGTCCCAAGCAAAGAACCAATTGTGACCTTTCACGTTTAATAACCCAGAGCCACTGTAGCATTAAGTCTGCTTATGTGAGCTCAGTGTTGATCTAATTTAATATTTTAACTACAAGTAATGGAGTGAAAAAACACTTGGGGCTGTTTAAAAACAAGAAAATGTGAAGAAAACGTCTATAATTACCTGTTACTTTTTTTTTTCTTATGACAAAAATGACACTCAGTCAGTTTGTAATGTAAGCTTGTCCAAGTCCTCCCGCATGCTTTTAGAAAAGACCCACAGAGCCTAGCCCTGACTTAACTCAGCCCCGGTGTTAGTTTCCCAGAAGGCGAAGACAAACGGCAATCAGAGTGATTTCCCAACACATAATTGAATTCCGAACCACTTCATTCCCAGCATTTAGCCTCAGAAAGCCTCAGTCTTGCAGGAAACGCCTGCATACTCTTCCGCCTGGCTGTCTTTATTTTTCTTTCTTTCTTTTTTTTTTTAAATCCTCACTTTCACTTCTAGGATTTTGGACACGCAGACCCACACATGCCAGCACACAGACTCAGCTATGTCTGCGTGACCCCCGTCTGACTCTGCTGAGCCTGGTTGGTCGCCCAAATTAGACGAGTACTCGCTGCCACAAGCAAGATATCGGCTCAAAATAAGTCACGCTCATTGCTCTTCCCTTTTAAAACCGATTCAGCTTTGGCTGAGGGAAGTTTGTGGAAGGGGATCTGATAACGTTCAGTACGGAGAAAGGAAAATCAAGCCGCGAGTCCCTCCCGCGAGTAGTGACGCAAAGCTACGATGGCCAATGATGTCTTGCGACATGAGGCGTGTGTGCCGTGCCTGAAGGCAATAGTGGTTCTTTATGAGCTGAATGAGCTGAACTCTTCATTAATGGTATTGAGGCAGCTCAGCTCTCCGCGTGATTGAATTATAATAACTGTCGAAATGCTCCTAACTTCTTTCTATTGAGACATGTCTGTGCACCTTTGAAAGATGGCAGCACGCACAAGTCCCTTACGCAGATAACTTTACACACATCTCATTTCATTCCCACTTGAGCCCGGGGGGTGCTTGTGGGGGGGGGGGGGGGTGGCTGCCCTGCCCGCAGCCGTTCTAGGCGAGAGCCAAGGCAGGATACAGTAAACGGAGTAAAAATAACCCCACCCCTGTGTGGTATGGCTCCTCGCCAGCCAACTACTAAGCGAAAACCTTCTCACGGGGAGCGAGTCTCGGAGCCAACCTCAGGAAAGGGACAGGCCTAGTTGTATTTTTGCAAAGGCCCCACCCATCCTTTGCCAGACAAAGAGTGATAACAGAGCAGTGATCTGAGGGGGATTGAGGTGCAGCGCTCTCGTTGTAGGCAAAGGAACAAATCCTCTCTCTTTTAGTGTGTCAATTTTCCCACCAAGCTGCAGTTAATAAATAAGGGAAAATACCAGGAGGCTTATAGTTCTTTTAGAGGTATTTTTCCATGTTTTTATTAATTTATATATATTGTAAGGTGCTGTCCCTGTGACTGCCAAAGCCCCCCTTTGCCTGTAATCATCTGCTCCCAGATCAGCAGGCAGCCCTCTGAAAGCAAAGTGTGGGCCAGCGACATCTTCCAGGCTTCTGCAGCTCCTCCAGTGACAACCACGCAGCATCGTCCTCAAAGCTGCCTTAAATGCCGCCGGCAGAAACCGAAACCGCTTTTCTGCAGTTGCTGCAAGAAGTTTTTGTCTTCCTGCGGCTCAAGTGGCCCGCAGCAGGTGGTTTTCGCCTCGCTACGTGAACTGGATGACTCTATGACGAGACAGCGCCTGGCCCTCTGATGAATGGGCCGCTGGGATTCTTGGAAAAGATGGACTTGCTAAGTTTAGGGGGAAGGAAAGAGGAGATGCGTTATAGTATCAACATTCGCATGAGCAGATGAGTGTGACACCATAAGCTAACGTCACTTTAAATGTCAGCCATTCGCGGTGGTTGAATTACAACAGAGGAAGATAAATCGAAAGACAATCCTCCAAAGCGCAAGTGCATGTTTCAAATTCATCTTTTTACACCCTGCAGGGTGTGAACACGATCTTTAATCATGCATTTTAGAGGACGCCAGCGACGGGCTAAACCTGACTGTGCTGCAGCACAGATTGAGTGACTGGATAACCCGAAATTGAGCCATATATTGGATTGATGTAGGTGTAAAAATGCCTCAGTTCAGTTTGCTTCATCAGATCAGAGCTCGCTGATCGTGATCAGGAGGTGTGAGCATTGTAGGCGTCTGTTGGTCTGGAACAGTCAGGTGTGTGTGCCCTTCAATCTGGGAGGAAGTGGAACTACAAACCAGTGTCTACAGGCCTTAGTTAGTGTGTTAAATGTTGCAGATCATTCATCGTATAATAGATTAAAAAAAAAGAACACAAAAGTTTCAACAGTGAGAATTGTGGAACGCTGTCTCTCAGGCAAACATGACAGTGGAGATGTGCGTTTATAATGCGCAGCAGTTCATGAGCAGGGGCGCCTCATACCCACTGTCAAGTACATTGGTGGGGGTTGCATGATTCAGGCTGGTTTTGCAGCCAAAGGAATCAGTCTTCGTGGTTACTGAGTCAACCATGAGCTCTGCGTGCAGCATTAAGATGTGAGGCCTTCTGTCCGACAGCAGAAGCGTGGCTCAGAGGAGGAGGATGCATGACCCCTCCCCAAACGCTGCAGCACAAGGGAAGAAAACATCAAAGTGCTACAGTAATTCAGCCAGGATCTAGACCTCCGTGTGGAATCGATGCTAGAAGACCCTCAGAAAAGTAGCAATCGGAGGCAGATATAATGGTCATTTGACTGGGATTACTCCACCAACACTCCTCCTCAGCTCAAATCCTCAGATTACTGTTTGCTTACACTTCAATATTTATTTTCCCACGCAGTTTGCACAAAGCAAATCCCGAACTGTTGCAAAGACTTCTTTTTACGCTTCTTGACTTTTAAAAGGGGCTCAAAGTTCACGAGTCATCAGAGTTAAAAAAATATTCCTGGATTTCCTAAGAAATTGTCAGCACAACTAATAAAGCAGGTCTGATGAAGTGTTTTCAAAACTCCTTAAGTGTGTTTAATGGCCCTATGTTATTTCCACGCCTGAAAGGTTGATCAGAGTTCTGAAGGAGCAGAATCACGCTCCGCCTTTGCCCCCCCCCCCCCCGTCCCCCGTGGTCTAGATAGGAGCAAGGAATGGCCTAGTTAACTTTAAAAATAATCCACTAACCAGGCCAGTGCTTCCTGCTTTACATTTCCTTTGTTCATGTGAGTCATTGAAATGGAGCCAAGATAATAAACCCTGTTTTTTTTTGTTTTTTTTTCCCCATAAGAGCAGCCAGTGAAAAAAGTAGACACATAATCCTTTGTTTGTGTGTTCTAAAAGTGTATTCATGTGATGCTTCTTGGGCAGGTATGCTCCAGAACGGGAAAAAGTTTGACTCCTCTCGAGACCGGAACAAGCCCTTCAAGTTCAAAATTGGACGGATGGAGGTCATAAAGGGCTGGGAAGAAGGAGTAGCACAGGTAAAAAGGGAGTGTGGTTTCATCTGTACCTGGATGTTATGGTTATTTTCTTCTGCCTCTGGTATTTTCATCTAATCCCAGATCATAGATGTTTCTGTTGTGCTAAACCCGAAGTTGCATTCTCGTTGGAGGCCGGCATGAGAAACCATGAAAACCACTACGTTCACCTGTTTTTCGTCTTACTTGTGCCACAGATGAGCCTCGGTCAGAGGGCTAAGATCACCTGCACACCAGACATGGCTTATGGAGCGACAGGTCACCCCGGGGTCATCCCACCAAACGCCACGCTTATTTTTGACGTGGAGCTGCTCAAGCTGGAGTGACTCCCTCAGCAAAACACCGGGGTCGGAGGTTAACGGGGACGCCAAGAGTCTGCAGGGATACCATACCTGGTGGCTGGCTCCCAACCTTCCTCCTGCTCCTCTTTATTTCAACTTCTACAGTCTCCCTCGATTCAATGTTTAAGTGTAACTTCTGCTGCTTTGTTGCCATCTTGTCATCACGGATTCTGCTTGAAGATATCCACGTCACACAAGACTTTTAGACACAAGCACAGTTTGTTTTCTGTTTGTAAGAGATGCTCTTTGTTGAGTTTCATTTTATTGCCGTAAAATCTCTCAGAGGAAACCTTTCGCCAGATGAAAATCAATAATACATTGCAATCAAAACATAAACTGCCTTACGAATTGAACAACACAGGAAGGGTACAAATGTGGAAGATTCACCATTTCTGATCTGTATATTGACCGGGCATTAAAAACCACTGTCTGCATTGCCACTTTGATAAATGCTTGTCCTGCTGAATGCTCTGAATGATGTTGCTGTTTAGTGTATTTTATAACCGTGATGCACATTTACTGCAAGTGTACCCTATCAAATTTGATCAATGCTGTACAACACTCTTGAAGAGCCATTACAACTATAACAGTTTACCGACCAACTCTTGAATAAAAATGGCATGTACTGTGTTGAGAAGTAAAAGTATATCTCATTTGTGTAATGTGTGTGTGATCGTGAAAATGAGCGATCTAGCTTCTCTACCACCACCTAATGGATTCTCTATGCAATTACCCACAATCCCATGCACCGCTTGAAAGCAAAACACATTTAATAATCGACACCGTGTCATGTACGAAAAGTAAGATCACTTTGTTTGTTTTTTACTGAAAAATTATAAGTATATTTGATTTAATCTGCCCAACATACTCTTCACCAAAACGGGAATTTATTGCTAATATTAAACAAGAAGCTTGACTGAAACCTTTACTTCCGGTGTGTCAGGTCAAAGTTGACGGTGGTTGACTCTCGCAAGCCATTGGCTGGTTGTAAGTGTTATGAAACATCATTGGACAACAGAACACACGCCTGTAAAAAGAAACACGAAGAGACACAACAAACCACAAGGTCAGTAATTTGTTAGAAAATACATCATAATAAGCGCCGTGCAACATACGCGACGTGTTTCGTCTGGCCAACGTTGTCTTGTTCTACTTCAGCCAACGCAGACGATTCCAGCCTGTCGGCCTGTGATGTTAGCTAACGAGTGCTTAGCATTTAGCCTAACTTTCCTCCTTTTGTTTTTCCGTACTTTTATGAGAAACTTAATTTCAAAACAGCCAAAAAGTAATATGTTGCCCGGTCAAATATGTTAAACGAGCAGAACCGTAACACATGTTATTAATGTCTTCGTTTTGTTCTGTGTCGCTGCTCGACTCATATCTATGTACAGAATTGCTGAAATGGTTTCTTTTGAATATAAAAAGAAATGTTTTAGTTGTCACTGTCACGCTGGCTCCAGTCTGTGCTCTCACGAACTGGTCAAAAGGGAAACTGTGCCTAACCTCGTGCGAGTATTAATCAAAAGACCTAAATACTGTGCAGTCTTTTCACATTGTAACATAGTTTTTTGTTTTGTTTCTTGTTTTTACGCAATCAGTGACGTTAGCATAGGCTGCCTGCTGACCTTACTCTCAGTTCATTGAACACTTCAAACCGGAAAGCTAAATGACCTCGACAACCTCCAAGTCATAGTTATATATATATATATATATAGTTCAGTTTTTGAGTACACATTTGTTTTCAGAGCATAGTGTAAGCGGCATATTTTTTCAAATTCGTTTATTGTTACTCATTTAGGGCAAACTAACTGTAAAAACCTGGTCATAAATATATGAGACTGCTGCTGTAATTGAGAATTTGGGTATTTATGTTTTAACATAGTACTTGTTGGATGCATTGAGTGGATTGAAGCAGTGCTGTGTTGTTTTTGCCTTTCTTAAAGGAATTAGTCATCTGTAGCTAAAATGTAAGAGTCAGAAACAGTAGGTGGCAACTGTCCACTATTGCCCTCGCACAAAAGATCAGGTGATATGGCCTAAAATCTTGGTGATAGAAATGTAACCGGAAATTGTTACTTATTACCCCAAATCACTTTAAGCTCAAACCATTGACATCATTCTGTGCCATGCTTCCATTTGTATCCCAAACTCTTACCCTCCATGGGGGGCACTGTTTCATGTCTCTACCTCCAGGTTTTCCATGCACGTCTGACCGAGCCTCCAGTGACCATGCTGACCGCACAGAGGGCGTGTGCAGCGATGGCTGCCCGCCGCTTCGTTAAAGCTTCGGCCTCCTTGTCACACACACACACCTCTCTGCTCCACACCTCAGTTCCATGCCAGGACCAGACTGAGCTGCATCCAGAGTGGGCAAACCTGGCAAAGAAACAGCTAAAGGGGAAGAACCCTGAAGATCTCATCTGGAGAACGCCAGAGGGAATCAACATCAAGCCAGTCTACACCAAGGCGGACTCAGAGGGGCGCGCGGATGAATTGCCAGGAGTGTTTCCCTACACTAGAGGGCCCTATCCCACCATGTACACTTACAGGCCTTGGACAATCCGGCAGTATGCTGGATTTAGCACTGTGGAAGAGAGCAACAAGTTCTATAGAGATAACATCAAAGGTAGATGTTTTATTTCTACATTTTTCAAGTTTGATCTAATTTGATATTTTTCCAGTTGCTTTGTTTAAACATTCAGTCAGTATTCAAAGAGGAGAATAATTAATCTTATTTTTATTTGATGTCTTTATGGTGCACAATAACGATAGTAGCCGTGACCACCTTTCTTCTTTAACACATGCTGAACACTCTGGCACAGGAATGACTGCAGATATACTTTGCACTAGCCTGATGGACTGGATCATCCTTTCAAATAATATAAATAATATTTGTCCTCTGGAAATAAGGGGAGACTTTCCAATTTACAGAACCATTTTGATTCAAGGATATTATTATCCGTATATGAATAAGATTTTAGAAATGACTTTTAATGCTAGTGCTCAGATGCAAACAGGCGGTTGATGGCTGTGTGTCATGGAAAGGGGGTCAGTAGAGGCAACTGATGATGTGAGAGGACACTGAAGCTCCGTTTGCCTGAATAGAAGTGTTGGGTTAGGAAGTGTGCTGTCTCCTCCGATTCACTCATATGCATGAAAAGCTATCTGGACAGTGCTTCAGATGGATGACGACCAGAAGGGTGTTGCGAATGCCGGCCAGGAGTTTTTTAAGGTAAAGCTTTAGAGGGAAAAACTTTCAAAACCAACAGCTGCAATAAATGACAGGCAAAGGATCACAAAGGAGGAAATCTATACTTTAGTAATGCTATTGGGCTTTTTGGATTACTCAGCCTATTTATATTGAGCCTTTTATTTGTGGTCCTGGATTTTTTTTCTTCAATTTTTTTATAAAATGGGGAGAAATACGTTATTAGAATGCTTAAATGCCTCCAACATTTTTGTATGTCATTAATCTCAAATTAAAATTTGAGTCTTCACTTTAAACCAAGTGCATCATTAAAACCTTTGCCAAAAAGCTACATGATCAAACTCTATCATTCCTCATTTTTTGGGATGTTGGTTTCTACGAAAGATCAAATTAAAGAAAAACATTGTGTTATTGTTCTAATACTGCAATTGCAAACAAGCTATATATCTTTCTCCCGATTATGTCGATTTAATCAGGGTCCCTTAAAAGGTGAGATATCTCTGGCTTTATCCACACACCTGCCAATTTCTGACCCCACCTTCAATAAAAAGGATGGACGAGACATAAAAAGCTTTTGGGAATGTTCCCAACCAAGACTTGAAACGCTATAAAACATGGAAAATCGCTCAAATTTTCTAAGCATGATGTCTTAACAAAGAAAAAAAGAAAAATATAATTAATTCCTTTAACTCTGAAACTAAAGACATATATTATTGCTGTAAAATCACATTCAAATGTGACATTTAATCAGATATCATGAACAAGGGTGGCTTTCTTTTAGTCAGAGATGAGTATGATTAACTGACCTTCTCCAATAATCAGCACAGTACAACCCAAGGGTATGTAACACTGATGCTGTTTGTGGTCAGATGCTAAGCCATAAGATTGTTCTTTGTTAAATCATCCTTTTAAACACAGTTGAAATGCTGAGAATGTAAATATTTCGGTGTAAAGTTCTCTTAAAACTTCTATGCGCATATTTTGTTGATTCCTTCTGTTGCAGCCGGTCAGCAGGGTCTCTCTGTGGCCTTTGACCTACCGACACACCGCGGCTACGACTCGGACAACCCCAGAGTCCACGGGGACGTGGGCATGGCCGGAGTGGCGATAGACACGGTGGAGGACATGAAGATGCTTTTCGACGGGATCCCCCTGGAGAAAATGTCAGTGTCCATGACCATGAACGGAGCGGTGGTACCTGTGCTGGCCATGTTTATTGTGACCGGGGAGGAGCAGAATGTGCCTAAAGAGAAACTCACTGGGACAATTCAGAATGACATTTTAAAGGAGTTTATGGTACGCAACACCTACATTTTCCCCCCGGAGCCCTCCATGCATGCCATTGCAGACATCTTTGCATATACGTCCAAGGTATGTAACTCAGAGAAAGTATTCTGCTGCTCTCTCTGTGTAATTCAAGGCCAGCATTATGACTTAATTCATTCAGAGTTAAATTAATGGGCTTCCATTGTCCTGTTTGCAGTACATGCCTAAGTTCAACTCCATATCCATCAGCGGCTACCACCTTCAGGAGGCCGGCGCAGACGCCATCTTGGAGGTGGCATACACCATCGCTAACGGCCTGGAGTACTGCCGCACTGGTCTGAAAGCAGGTTTAACCATAGACGATTTTGCCCCAAGGTAAGACAAAACAGAAAAAAGGTTTTATTTGACTTCAGATGAATCTAATGATGTTTTTTTTTAATATGACATCTTAAATATATCTTCACAAATGACTCGTGAGGCGTTGTTTTACATTCACTTGAATAAATTTGACCCAGCAGAGAAGGACACTATGAAAAACAGGATTTATCATAAGCCAAAGACAAAAAAAAATCAGGCCCTAAAGCACCATTGACAACCCTGGATCTGAGTACCCTGTATTAGTATTGATGATTAAGGATTTGCATCTGTTCTTTTCATTTTTCTCCCAATCTTCTGCCACTAAATATATATTTGCTTCCCCGTTCTTTAGATAAATCATAAGCCCCCCCTTTTTTTTTAAATTGCCAAGACTGAAACAGACAGAAATGCTTCTGCTTCATTAGACCTCCATTCCCATATTTCTACACATGTTTAAGCTGCTTCCCACTTGAGGTTAATAAAGTATCTGAACTTTCAGAGACAATTGAGCAAAAACTGTGCACTCAGAATACTGAATGATGATGTTTTGCCTCGTGAACAAAATTACACAAATCTGTTTGAATGTGGAAAACCGGTGAAAACCTTCACCTCTACTCCACACTGTTAAAGCTGTGGAAGGGAGCTGCTTAAACACCATCTCATATTTAAACCTCAAGGACGTTTTCTGCTGTCCTCTTTGAGACTGAGCTGCGTGGTGTCACTCTGCTGGGCCACAATCTGAATAACTGAAATGAAATCATTTGAGTGTAATAGAAATTGCCTGCAAGTCAGTTAATTTTAAATGCTATCTCAGTGTGTTACTTTACCATTGCTGTTTAGCATTTGCTGCAGGGGAAGCCATTTTTTCTTTTACCTTTGTCTATTCTACCATGTTGGCGTTCCTTTGTCAGTCACTGAAAGTTGCATTTAAGGAAGAAGTGCTCGTCGGATAAGGAGAAACCAGACAGCCTTTTCAGTAAATTAGATGAAGCCCTACCACGTTCTGTCGTACATTGCGCTTCCATTATCTCCACTCTGGGAGTTTTCCATGTTTTCTTTCACTCGGATAATAGCAGACTTTCACTCTGTCCCCTAGGGGATTCCTCAGGGCTTAGTCCAGAGCTTGACCTTTTGCCTCCTATAATGACTTCAGAGACAGGTTTTAGAGATGGCTTTTTTGAATTGCCTTAGAGGCAATCACTTGGGTGTAATTGAACATTTCCTACCATTGTCCAGTACCTCCCTTTTATGGCTGATAAGTCAGGTTTCTTGTCTTGATTCGCTGGTTGTCTTTTTATAAAGGGTAAGACTGCCCTTGAAAACATTCCGACTGACTCTCTAAGTGATTTTCTTTTTAAGCTTTCTGTCGTACACAAACTCATTGTTGGAAAATATCTTCTCTTTGCAGCCGACAGTCACATTCCACATCAGCTCTCTGAGCTGTTATGCAGTAGTCAAGGTTTTATGTGATAAATGCTTAAAAACATTTCCTTGTCTAAAGTAAGTAGGGGCACAGACATTTTGAATGATTCATTTCATTGTGGCTCAAGAGCTGAGCTGTAATTGCATTTGTTATGTAGAAGCGCAGCTGTCCGACACCCCTTTTCCCTGATGTGGGACATTTGAGACTTTACTTAACATATCTGAATTACTTTTGTATATTGAGTATCGGCTCAGATGGTGGGTGTTCCTTTGTTAGTTCTGGGCATAGTTGTGGTCATGGGGCTCTTACGTTCCTAATACTGATTTAATCCATAGAAAGACAGTTTTTCTAACATATGCTGATTTTTCTTTCCCTTTCTTTTGTCTGTATTTTGCCAGACTGTCCTTCTTCTGGGGCATAGGGATGAACTTCTACATGGAAATAGCCAAGCTGAGGGCAGCCAGGAGGTTGTGGGCCACTCTCATTAAAGAAAACTTCCAGCCCAAGAATCCAAAGTCTCTCCTCCTGCGCACACACTGCCAGACGTCGGGGTGGTCGCTCACTGAACAGGTAAATGTAACTTAAAACTGAGTCTGCGCTAAGTGTAAGGCTGAGCTCTCTCAGGTTTTAGCCTCAGAGACGACGGCTGGATTCAGAAAAGCTCTTCCTCCCTAGGACCCGTACAACAACGTGGTCCGCACAGTGGTGGAGGCCATGGCCGCAGTGTTCGGGGGAACCCAGTCTCTGCACACCAACTCCTTCGATGAAGCCCTGGGCCTGCCCACCGTGAAGAGCGCTCGCATCGCCCGCAACACACAGATCATCATCCAGGAGGAGTCGGGCATCCCCAAAGTCGCAGATCCCTGGGGGGGCTCGCACATGATGGAAGCTCTCACTGATGATGTCTACAACACTGCCCTAAATGTGAGGCTGATAAAATAAGCTCAGTGTATTGTATTTATCTAAAAAAAACATAAACATATATCGTTTCGCTGGTGTCAGGTTTTATTTGGGAAAATCGTTTTTTTGGGAGATACAGTGTACATTTGACAATGTGAAACGCCAACAAAAAATCACAGCTATCGTTTCGCCTTTCGCAGTTCATCAAAGAAATCGAGGAGATGGGCGGCATGGCCAGAGCTGTGGCAGAGGGCATCCCCAAACTCCGAATAGAGGAATGTGCTGCACGGCGACAGGCCCGCATCGACTCAAGTACGGCAAGAAACCACCCTCTCACTCAAAGCTCTCACTCTTTGCTCACTTTGTTTTTCTGGTCCAACATGAGGACTTTACAGTTTTGGGCGATGTGACAGCTGGAGGTACCCAACTACCATCCCCACACATTTATTCTTCACACAGGTGCCATCAGGGAGCCCCCAACCACAGCTGTCTGAGTTTAGGCTTCACTCTGTGGGATTTAACCTGTGATGGGAAGTCAGGAAAGAAAAAAAAAAGGTGTCTGAACAAATAGCTGTTGCATAAGACAACAATTACGTTTTCCTTTAACGCCTTAAAGCAAGATTACTTTATTCATTTTCTACCATTTACAGTCTGTCATAGAAATAAAAGGAAAGGTCCTGAGGAAAAACAGAACCTTGCCTTAAAGCAAGATTACTTTATTTGTTTTCTACTATTTACAGTCTGTTATAAAAATAAAAGGAAAGGTCCTGAGGAAAAACAGAGCAACTACAGAATTGGTTAATATATAATATCCCCTTTTTAAAGCCTGTTGCAGGATTGATTCCCCGAATAATTCAGAGGCTCACATTAGCAAAAGCTCTGCTGGATGCTCATTTTTCAAACTTGTGACCTTCCTTTGTTGTGAGACCAATGGTCATATTCGTCATCTCCACAATGAGGCCTGTATCTGTCAAAATGTTGTTTACCATTCCCCGTGTTTATCAGGCCTCGAGGGCCTATTGATGCGATTCTTTAACGTTCTTCACAGTAGTTCTCAGGAACTTGTCTCAGCCTTTCACAGCTCCCCTGGATGTCTGCCCCCCCCCAAAGGGAAACCGCTGTCTTTGACGCAAGACACTCATGTGGAAGTTCTCCTTTTTGTTCTAGCTTTCTTTGTTGTTTGTTTTAACATGCATGAGTGCAAAAACAAGACTTGAGCTTGGCCTAAAATGGACACAAAGTTTCTTAGTGTTTAAACTTTCTACTTCATACTTGTTATGAATCTGTGAGCAGGGGCTCAAACATTTGTATGCCCCTTTAACTCCCTCTTTGATGCGCTTCGTGCTTTGTGACTTTGCAAAGCTTTTACATTCGCATAAATAAAATACACTAAAAAGGTTGGCAAAAATCCCAGGAACTACAATAAGTCTTTGATTTATTTTTTTTCCAATTTATTTTTTTTATCTCTCCCTCACAGAGAAAAACAGCCTGGGAGTAGAGTTAAAAAAAGAATCTTATTCTTACTATCCAGCTGAAAAGAAGCTATTGAAACCTTTTGAATGCTTGTGAACTAAAAGTTTGAAAGAAAGTGTTTCTACAGAGAAAACGGGATGGACGTGTGATACTTCAGTGAGGGCAGACACTGTTTTACTACTGTATGATATCTATTGGTGTGGAGTTTAGGCTCATACCATCAGTTTTATGGGAACCTAAATGTTAAATGAGCCAGAGAAACTTACCCACGTTCCTGAATGAGTAAAAAAAAACACGTAATTTATTTTTACATCATATCACACTGAATGGAGCATAGGTAGTGTTTTTCTGCTTGTTTTGATAGATTTGACATGACAGCTCCTGGGTAACCATGTCGGTGTTATTGCGAGGGAGATTAACCAAGGCCTCTTTTAGTCTCATGGGGAAATATGCTCACTTACACTTCATAAGGTCAAAATAATTACTATGGAGCAGAGCAGAGCTTTTGCAGACCGTGTAGCTTCTCGTCCAAACCCCCCCGATTCCAGCTGTCATTGATATTCATAGTTTTTTTTTTATGGATGTTGAATTCTGATCTCTAGAATTGGACTTGGATACATTTGTTTTGCTTTTTTTCTGGTTGTCGGGAACACCTTTTGATGCTGTTACTTTAATGATGTCACTACTCCTTTAACAATAAAGACTGTTTTAGTCGACACACTCCTTTAGACAAGAGTGTGTCATCATGTTACTGGGAGAAAAAGGTGTGTGAACAGAACTGACGTGTTTTTAGGCGATGCTTATTTGGAAATGAGTGTTTTGATAAATTTTTGCTGTGGAATGTGAGGAGTCTTTATTTTCTTTATCTCTGAAGTTGGGTGAATGTTTCGTTAAATGTAAAAACAGAGAGTTAGCCTATTCAAACAGGTAGAAGCTGGAAAAAAAAAGAAATGGAAAAAAACAAAAACAAACCCAGTACTGATGGAAAATATCCCCATGTCTTAGATTTCCCCACAAAAAAGGGGAAGCTCACAACAAAAGCTCTCATCCTTAAACACTTTTCCTCTCTTTTTAGCAGTAAGAGTGTTTTTGAGTCTCCATCCGTCTGCCTTAATGAGTGCCTAACCACTCGTCTCTATCTGCTTCTTCAGGATCAGAAGTCATTGTGGGGGTGAATAAGTACCGTCTCGAAAAAGAGGAGACTGTGGAGGTGCTGGCCATAGATAACACCATCGTACGTCAGAAACAGATCGAGAAATTGAAAAAGGTTGGTCCTGCTGTTGGCTTATTAAGGCTTCTTTGACAGAGACTTTGAAAGCAAATGCGCTGGTTTACAACACCAGTGGTTTAGAGTGTTAGAACATTCACAGAAAACCTTCACTTGTGCTTAAATTTGCTAAAATAAAATCTTTTAATGCAGTGTAGCCAAATGTGAACAGGCTGTCCTGTGTATATCAGAAACAGTAAATCCAGGTCATAGGCTGTTTGTGTAATGTTTAATCTGTCATTAGGGAGGGTTGCTGCATCAGCTATTGATTAGATTATTTTTAGTTACTATAGCCGTGGTTGAATTCAAGAAAAGTGTAAGTCGATTCTAAAGCTGAATATTTGGATCAGGATTTCTACTTGGATAAACTGAAAAAAAATTATTTGAATGAAATATAAAATGAAATTGGTCCCAGTTAGCAGATTGACTGAGTTAAAGTTCTAACCTAAATGCACAATTCATTCTTCTCATACTGTCTAACGTGACACTTTCAGGCAAAGCTAAAGCATTCATCTTTTTTGTCAAATTTTCATTAGAGCAGCCATGCTTAAAGGTACAAATGGAAAAAACACCCAGAGTCCTGTATATTATGAGGAGGGATTTTATTAATTCAGTCGTTTTTATATCCCCTAAACTGCAGATCACATGTTAACTGTGGCACACTCGGGGCTCAAAGCGTCCTGTAGCTCCGGGGCATGCAGGGGTGGGAAAAAGCTACAAGTGCCAAGCTTTGTTTTACTTTGGTTGAAATTCACCTCAAGTCCTATGTATGTCAAGTAGAGATAATCAAAACACTTCTAACCTTGTCGAACACAAGTCAGGCTAATAACTTTAATAATGGCTTCAGGTTTTGTTGCTCTACGCCCAAACTTGGTGATTATTGATGGTAACGATTCGTAAGAACAGTGTGGAGGAACATGACATTTTCTTCCAAGTCATATGTATGCTGCGTGTATTGTTTGAATGACAGCAGGGTGCAGTAAAGCTGTGTTCACGTTCCAGGTGAAGGAGAGCCGGGACCCAGAGGCGGTGAAGAGGTGCCTGGCAGCCATTGAGGAGTGTTCCCAAACCAGGGAGGGCAACCTTCTGGAACTGGCTGTGGCGGCTGCGCGAGCCAGGTAAAAAGCCAAAGCTCACGCTCTTTTATGGGAGAATTCAGCTCCAGATGCATCCCCAAAATCCACTTTCCCAGGGCGCTGTGTCTGTTTTCTGTGTTTCAGTTTTTAGAATATTTTATAGCTGCCAGAAAAGTGAACAGTGATTCCTTCCGATGGTGCTGGTCAGTCACATGTGAAAAATAACTTTCTTCAGCACAGTCAGCATTATGAAATCAATTTCCCAGACATGGGTAAACTTAATTACACCGCAAAAGAAAAAACAAACACCCAAGTCATAGAAAACCACTTAGACACCTGATGCATTTCTAAAAACTTCTCTATCTACATATATCTGTTTAACCCTCAGCATACAGAAATGAAAGCCGTGAGACTCTGAAACCAGTGGTTTCTCCCATTTGGATCAGCAACATTATGGGAAATCGAGGTGGAAGGCCTCATTCCCAAATTCTTATGGGCAGAACCTGGTACGCACTGACCAGCGTGTCCTCCATGTAGATGCACTGTCGGGGAGATCACAGACGCCATGAAGAAAGTGTTCGGCGAGCACAAGGCCAGCACCAGGATGGTGAGCGGCGCGTACCGCAGCGAGTTCGGCGAGCACGAAGAGATCGCCGTGGCCCACAACAGGTCGGCGATAAAAAGAAAATCAGCACCCCTCACCTCGCTGCCCTCATCACGCAAAGGGTAAAATGTCTCCCATCACTCTAGAGTCACAGATTTCAAGAGCCACGAAGGCCGGAATCCCCGACTGCTGGTGGCAAAGATGGGCCAGGACGGTCACGACCGAGGCGCCAAGGTTATCGCCACGGGGTTCGCTGACCTGGGATTCGATGTGGATATCGGGCCACTGTTTCAGGTGAGTGTTTTTCACTTAGGTACCACGTAAGAACATCTGCACTATGTGTGGAGACACACGTTCAGATGTTGTGGGGTTTCACGAATGGGCTCCTCCATGGGAAAAGACTCCTGGGGCCAATCGGGGTGTAACACAATAAAACCCTGGGAGGTTGCAGTGTTTTCTTTCTTTTTTCCTTTTAAAAAAAAAAGATTGCTTAAAAGCATGTTGACAATAGCAGATAAGGGTCCATAATAGTTTTATTTTTCTTTTCTTTTCAAGACACGGAAAGTGGCTGCTTTCCTGAGCCACCAGAAAAGAGGTTCAATTTCCTTTGTTCGATTAAAGGTTGGATAATAAGATTAGAATAGAATAAACTGGCCATCAGAAAAGAAAACAAAGCAGTAACTGGTGCGTGCTTGCCCCCGTTTCCTGCTGTGGTCAGACCTCAGACCGCCAGTGTTAAAGAGCCAGTGTCGCAGACTTTCTAAGCCCATCTGGAGCACATAAAAAAAAAAGAGGTCCTGGGGGCAGCTTTTGTGGGAACACGGCTTCAGTGTTTTAGAGAAATGAAACGGCCTCTATTTACAGCCAATTTAAAGATGATATGCATGGAGCAGGGTTCTTATGGGAGTTGATTCCACAAAATGCCGTAGAAGTACAAACATAAATTTACAGTTAGGAAAAGGCCACGGTATGCATAGGCAGACTGACTCCACATGTCTTTATTGGGACTCAGAAGAAAAGATTCCGAGTGGATGTTGACGTGAAATCTGCTGTAATTTCAAAGTTCAGCCATGCCTTACCCCTGGATAGGATTTTTTTTTTCTTTCTGTTTTTAGCCGTTTTGAGTAATTGTGTTAACATACCTCATTGCATTAAATCTGATTAAATTATTTAGTCTCCGCACAAGATATTGCATAAGGCTTATAATTAGGCAATTTATTTTTTTTATTGTGAACACTGCGTCTCTTTCTCAGTTTTCTTTACATTTGTCTGCGACCAACCACCGTGAAAAACAGGCTCCAGTTGCTTCTCTATCACATTAAAGGAGGTCGTTCAGGTAAACAGGGAATGGGATTTTAAGAGCCTGAAATACAGCATTTTGACTAATGATTGTTTCCAGATTAAAAACATCTATCATTTAGATAAAAGCCCATCTGATTTTAGCTTTACATAAGATGTTATTTCTATTTTATGTTTAAAGTGACGAGTCACTGAAAGAAGAGCATTCAAAAGGGATGTTTTTTCTGCTGCTTGATAGCGAAGCAAATCTCTGTTTTACTTTACTCTGTGCTCTGCAGTGTGAGTCATGATGGGATGCTTCCAAGAATCAGCAGTTATGCCTTTATATACCTGAACAAACTCTCAGGGGGGGGGTTGTCAGAGGGGCCCTGATTCTGTCCCCCGCACGGCTGCAGGCAGATGCTTTTAGTTTTACCGGTAGAGCTTTTTTCTGCCTGACTAAGCACAGCAAGGTCAGCCCGATTGTTTTGCGTTTCAGCTCACACCGGGAACTTCATACTCACAAAATGAGTTTTGCCATCAAAGTATAATAAAAACATTCTGGGGGAAAAAAGGCAGGTCCTATTTAAAGGCTGCTTAAGCTCTCCGTTTATGCACAGACATGATTCCTGGTGTTCTGTTTGGATTGAACACAGACACGCAGCCGGAGCCTCAAACCTCGTTAGTAGTAACACGTTGCCTATCTAGTCGGCCGTTTGCTTCTTGGGCTCATTGTAGAAATTTGAAATGGAAACATCCTCCAGATGGAAGCTGACGGCCCAGTGTGCATCAAAAGTGATGAGCCCCGCGGCGACACTTGATCAGCATAAGCTCTCTGTCACCGATCACATGGCCTGGTGTTGAGCACGGCCTCTGGCGTTGGGAAAAGTATGAATCTTGATATTGGAACATGGTTTTACTCCCAGCAGAGCTCATTTTGTATGGAGGAATAAAACTGTCATAATCCCCGAAACCACATGCAGAAACGGCTGAATAGAAAAAATCTATAAGGATGATTGCTACTGAAAAGCAATGTGTTTTTAGACATGATTTAGAGTTGTTTTGATTTAAGGTTGCGTTGCCGTTTTCTCTTTGTTTATTGCTTTTCCTTGACTGACCCATTTATCACCTCAGATCTTCGCCCTGATGCCTTTTCAGGCTTTTCTAATTTTGTCTACTTCAGTCTCATGTGCATGCCTGATGTGGATCCTCTGACCTGTCGGGTGTTTGGTTGATACAGACGCCCCTGGAGGTGGCCCAGCAGGCGGTCGACGCAGACGTCCACTGCGTGGGGGTCAGCACACTCGCTGCGGGACACAAGACCCTGGTCCCGGAGCTCATCAAGGAGCTGCGGAAGCTCAACAGGCCGGATATCCTGGTCATCTGCGGAGGCGTCATCCCGCCGCAGGTAAGCGCAGAGAGACGGTGTTTCAGCGCAAATAGCTATGAGCTAGGAATGAAAAGCAAAACTAACCAGGATAAAGTGTCTGCGCACAAAGATACGAATGAGCCTCACAGCTCTTAAGGGCAAACCTGCTTCAAGTATGACTGTCAATTTTACGATGCAGGTTTAAAAAAAAAAAAAAAAAAAAAAAAGTGTCTTCATGAAAACACACTATTGAATGTGTTATCCTGTGTTACATGAACAAAGAAACACTGTTATCATGTGATTTCCATAATTAGATTTAAGACTTTCTTCACGCCCACTGCCAGCCGGATCCTCTGCGACTGCAAAACACACGCTTAATATCCTTTTGAGAATAGTTGTAGGCATCCACCACGGGTTGTTAACCACACAATCCCGCCTCCTCATTTCACCGAGTCAAGATCAAGAAGGTTAAATAACTCATGAGCTGTTGTTGACATTAAACATGAACAGCCCTTTTTAAGGATAACTGTGTGTAGGGACACGTCCACAGGCTTAATTTGTATCCCACTTCTGCGTCTGTCTGTCTGTGTGTGTGTGTGTGTGTGTGTGTGCGTGTGTGCGCGCGCGTGTGCGCGCAGGACTACGAGTTCTTGTACCAGAGCGGTGTGTGTGCCATCTTCGGTCCGGGGACCAGGATCCCACAAGCTGCAGTGGAGGTGATCGACAGCATCGAGAAGAGCCTGGAGAACATCAGACAAGCCATGTGAAAACAAACCGGCTTTAAAAGAAAGAAGTAGAATAAGCAACATCGAGCTGTTTGTTTGTGCCACCAATGGGAACCAATGTGTCCGTAAAGAATCATTTTGACCAGCGGCAGGAAGATGTGTGTCAGTCCTAAAACCTGCGGCCACTGTCAGAGCATCAGTTTGTTTTTTATTAATATCACTCAAACTAAAGATGTAAGGATGTAATGTTAGCCGATTCACAGGAAAATAATCTGCCTGCACCCCTGTGAGTGTAAGAATAAATTCATTACAAGGTTTGTATGTTTGCTAATATCGTGTTAATGATTCAGAACTGACAGGACCATGAGGTTAACACGAAATATTCAATTTGCAATCCCTAAGATTGGCTTGAGTTTCATTTTTTTTGTTCTGGTTTTTCAAGGTTGATCATTGAAATGAACCGCTAACGTACTCTGAATGGGGATTTTTATGTGTGTGTTTGCTGTTTTCTGAGAGTGTGATGAATGCCACTTGTGGAGATGGGTAGATTGTAACACATTTATGAATATAAAAGTTTGAAAAAAACACCATTATCTCAGATTCTGATTCGCATGGATCGCATCTTTTCTAAAAGAAGCCTCCGGCTTTATCTTTGGCATGTTTTTTTCTCTGTACGTCACTAAAATAAAAGCCTTTATATATACAATGACAGAGCTGGGGGATTAAGAGGTAAAGCTTATGTACTGTGCATACGTTTGCTCTTAGCTGCCATCTTGGTTGGTGAATAATACGGGGAGGCTTCCATATGTAGATGTAATGTAATAAAAAAAAAACAGTTGGGGCACATGGACATCTGACCGCCTCTAAGCCCATTCAGAAGCCCTGCCCCTTGTTTGCATTCCAGTTGCCGTTATTGGCTAATTGTGTTGCATCTAGGTGTCTGACCAGTGTAAGAATTAAAAAAAAAAAAAATTATGATCATATAGTTTTCAGCTTATGTCTTTAATGTGGGCTGTGCCCGGTTCGATTGAGCTTTGAACAAGTACCGTGTCCGGGTGCTGAGCTGTGCGTGAGAAAGCAAAGGACAAAAAGATGACTCGGGTCTGACCGGGAGGAGGCTTTCTTTTGGAGTCATTCTCACATTGAATAACATCAGGTAGTGACCCTAGTTTGTCTTTCGGGTCACGTGCCACGCCCGCACGAAGAGCCGAGGTGGGCCACGGCGCCACTTGTCAGACAGAGTGCAGTGGAGTCCGGAGATCCCTCCCCAGATACCTTCACTTCCATTCACACTGACTCATGTGATCAAGAGGCGCTAACAAGCCCTACAAGAAGCCAATGTCTGGGAGTCCCTCGTGAAAACTGTTTTCTGGAAATTCCATTCAGGCCATTTGCCTTCCTTTGGCACGAGGAAATAGTGTTATCAGAATGACTGTAAAACCTTACTGACATCAAGTAGGTCAACGGTATCCCATCAGAACAATTCATTTGAGACATGGAAAGGCGATGCAATAGTGAGCATGATCTGATGCTGTTCAAATGTAATTTGAGCTCCGCAGTCTTGTGCTAAAGTAGCTTACCCAGCAGAGTAATGTTACGTTTTGTTTGATAGTTCGCAAGCTTAGGATTTCACCCACACCGAAGCAAGTTGATAATATACTAATTCAAAGAATCTCTCCTCAGCTAATGGTCAGATTAAGATCCATTTTAAGGTTTTTTCTGCTCAGCTGCAGCAGCGCATGCAAAGAAACAATACTGTCTCTTTGAAATATAATTAAAAAAACACCCCTCCATTCAGTCAAAGGGTTCTTCAGATTTGGTACAAACCCTATTAAAAATGTATGAAATTTATGAAAAATTGATAAGAAATTGTTCATAAATTAAGATTTCATGTTAATATAGACAAGCATGCTAGCAACCACAGCCAGACTAGCATTAGACAACAGACACCATTTATATAGATTTAAGACCAAATATGTCCACACCGATACACAAGTAATATTATTCGTCATGGATATTGAACATGACTTCAAACATTCACGGGCCACTTTCTGTTCCCAACTTTGCCGAGTTCATGCTGTGTTTATTATCAGACATGACCAATAAATTGCGTACACAAATATGCTCAAGGGTCAGAGCTCTACATTCACATACTTTTTCAAAAAATATAACAGCAGTTCTGAGATCCAAGACAAAAAAAAAGATAAAAGCACTTTGCACAAGAAAAGTGAAATAAAACATAAAGAAAAAGGAATTCACGTTGAAAAACACAGCTTTCACAAATGAAAAAGATGGAATGAAAATGCTTTTAAACATGCTATTTTTATTACTACACAGTGTGAAATAGTGGCTAACTTAAACCATGCTTGAGTGATAATTCCAACTGAAGTTACTTTTCCTGCAATCATTCTCCATTAATACAGGCAAAACGGGTTCACATTAACAAAGGATTCATGGCATAATTTCAGACTCAAAGCAGACAAGTTCAAAACATTAAATGCCTCCACAAAAAAGGCTTTTATCAGACTTGTTTGAATTCTGTTTTTGTGCATCACATTGTGCCTCGAGATTTCAGAAAAGCACAGAGCTTGTCCTCTTAGTGGGTTTTGTGGTTTTTCCACACTATTTTTGCAAGTTATGTGACTGAAGTCAATTTTTTTGTTTCTTATCTCTAAATAGCACAACCAACAACATCACAGTTCATATATAGTTATTTCACAAATGTTGACCTTAAGCAAAAAAAAAAAAAGAGATGGCATTAATACCACTGAGGGATTAAGAATATTGCGAATTATTTCTCGAGAACCAAAATTGGGTAAAAGAAAGCTTTAAGGTCACTTGTATTCTGTTTCATTTGAAGTTTACTGACAGATGTTACCATTTCGGATGGTGTGAAACGTTTAAGAACACTTTCAACTTAATGGTCTCAAGGAGATTCATCACCTAACACAGTTCATGTTAAGGATCAACATCTGGTAGCTTGAAAGAATGTTCGCATCGTTAACAGCATCTGGAGACATTTCTCTGTTTTAAAATGTAACATAACACAACTGAGATCCTTAAAAAAAAACTCTTTCCAAGTTCTGTATCTATACGGATGGATATATGGATATTTAGTCTTTTTCTGATTGTCTGGCAACACTACATTTAGAGCTGTATATTTGGAGCATCTTATCAGTTATATCAGCTTTATTTATACATAGTCCCCCTCATTTCAATTGGTTTCCCAAGTCTTTGTGATCAACCTGAATCAGAGTGATGATGATACCACTGTTGTCTTTTAACCATCATGTTTCCCTGTAATGAAGGGGACTATATATAAACAGCATGTTAATGCTACACAGTGAAGCTGGAGTGCATGTGTACAGTCTTAGATATGCCCTTTAATCAAAGTTGGGAAGGGGGGGGGCAAGGGACTTGAATCCAAGCCTGACGTGCAATTTCATCTCATCAACAAGCAGTTGAAGCAGTTTAACTTGTCGTGGGAGAAATTATCAATGGAAACAAAATAATTAACACCAAGAACATAGCAAAAGCAGCACAAGTTACCACTAGTTATCACCAGTCATCATTTTCCTGTCAAGTCATAGTTCTACACTATGTCAGACATGGTTTGGTCAGAATCCTCGAAGCTGTTACGAGTTATTTCTAAACTCAAGCTGCTGTCGGGGATAGCATAAGCTTGAGGACAGGACAACTCCTGCTCAAACAGACTGTAAAAAAAAAGGATGGAAAAAATAATCTTTACAACATCAAATTGAATCATTAAAGTAGACTATCCTTGCTTCAGGTAACATTTTCGTCGCACCTCTGTACAAACTTTGGCTTGCAGTCATTGAGTTCTCATCATTTTCTTTGATCATGTGAGGCTTCTCAGCCAGTTTCCCATCATGTAAAAACATAGGCCCGAAAGCTATTTCCTTTAGCCATTTCATCAATATCATAGGTTTAAATTCTCAAATTCTGTAGTTTTTGTCGGCTGAACATTCACAGCATTGGATATTGTGCAGTCACCACCGTAAACCACCCTCGCTGTTCAAGAGCAAGGCCGCTATCAGCCAGTTATGTTTAAATGCCACACCAGTTAGGAAGCCTTCCGATCTGACGCTTGCAAAACACAGAGCATATTTCAAACGTGTCTGCACCTCCCATTTACGCTCAGTCTTCTCTCTCAGTTTGCTCCGCAGAAAACAACCCGAGTCCTCTTTACCTGAAAGTCACTGTCTGGATTCCACGATCTCCTGCAAAGTCTCTTGCGGCGCCTCTTTATTATTCTTGATGTTGCCGCTGACCATGTAAATGTTGTTGTCGTTGACGCTGTTGGAGACGAAGCAGGGGCTAGAGCGCAGGCAGAGCCACGGCAGCTGTTTCACCTCCCGCTTGAAGCTCTGGCTGAAGAAGTAGTAGATCATGGGGTTGTACACCGTGGAGCTCTTGGCAAACATACAGGGCAGCAGGCTGACTTCGGGCGGGATTTTGCTGCTGTCGTGGAAAATGGACCAGAGGCTTACCAAGCTATAGGGCGTCCAGCAGGCTATGAAACCCATGCTGATTAAAACAGCGATCTGCAAACACACAAGAGAAGAGAGTTAGCAACGTTGCTGAAGGCAGGTCCTTGGAAAAGTTTTGAATAGTGTATAGATTTGACATGTACATTGAGCAAAAAAAACCCAAAACATTTTAATATGGTGAAATGTGATTTAATCTTCAATGAGATTATTGATATTCGAACATATTTAAACTATTTCTAAGGGAATGATAATATAAAAGTAGCATTAACACTGAGTTGAATATAGGTTATTTACATATTGTGATCGGCACATAAAATTGACATTGTGTAATGGTTACTCCTATGAATCTTCATGCTAATGAGTAGAAACAGCCACTTGGCAATTTTCATATTCAATCGTCAAATATCCAAATCAAAGTATTGCCATCATACTTAACTTGGCTCGCTACAGTCTTCAGTGGAGGAAAAAAAGTCGAGCGAAGCATACAATTTTAGTTATTGCACTTCTAAATTCTACTCAGGTGGCTCTCGCTCGAAATGACTGTCAGTTTATCAAGGTATCGTCCTAAAAAAAATTAAGCCCAAAGGAAAACCGTTTGATGTCAAAATTAGTCTCCAAAACCTTAAATCCACTGCATCCATTTAAAATCAGGAAGTGCCTGAGCGGTTGGCTCAGCTGCGTGGGGGGCCTTTAATCATCTGCGTGCTCTGAACCAGCAAATGCCAGTTTTTTATCTCTCTTACTTAAATTCCAACAGCAACACGGCAGCACTTTATTAATACACTGTGTTCACTGCTTGGTTTTAATTGCATTTGATCAGGGCCTACAATCAAAATTTATTGGGTGTAAAAAAAAAAAGATCAGGGTTAGTCATTTAAAGTCATTTATATACACGTACTAGATTGATGTAATCTGGAAAGACATACTTACTATCAACAGCCTCCGATGGAGTCTGATAATATTGGGAACATGATTGCTGTTTCCTGACTTCTTGTAGGTGAAGTAAAGCTTCATAGCGATGCCAAAGTAGCAGCAGATGATGATGACCCCGGGCATGACCAAGTTGAAGAAGAATAACGTGATGACAAAAGAGAAGGCCTTGTGTTTCATCTGTCCCCAGGCCAGCGAACAGGACAGGCCAAAGGGCTCCGGCCCATATTGACCCCAGCCCAGAATGGGAAACAGGGCCCAGATCAGAGCATACAGCCACGTCCAAATGCACAATATCTTTGCCTTCTTCCAACTGATCTTCTCCTCTGTAGAGACAAAAGCAATGTGCAAAAGCAAATGAGCTGCACATTAAACGAGTGAGAATAACACACTCACACACATACGCACAGCACATATGCTTACTTGTGAAGGTCCACAATACTTAATGGAAGTAGGGTCTCAGTATAAATAAATTAATGTCCTATTTTATCATGCCGTGTCAAATTACTTGGGGAGAAATATTTAGCGAGGGTGGAGTAATCTAATACACTGGAATCGTCACGATAACATGGACAGCACTGGACAAATAAATTAGAAAGTGAAAAACGAGGCTGAAATAAGACAACACAACATCAGCAGCTCAGTCAGAGCCTGTGGATTAAATATGACAAAGCGTGACAAAAAAAAAAGATAGAAAGATGAATCATTCCATTACTGAGAGTTGATTATCTCTTCAATGGCTCCATAGATTGTTTTGACCTGTGTTTGTTCTTTTAGCTTTTTTGTTGTTGTTCTTGTTAGCTTACGTATTATTTTTACCAGTATTGGGAAGTAGCTTCTGACCTGTGTTTCTTCCTTTACACCGATCGCTAACCAGTGCAGATGAGATGTAAATCCATTTTCTGCTTGTGAATTGCAAGCCAGTCCTGTTTTCTCCCTGGAACCCTGAGACCTCAGCCGCGGTGGATCGGTTTGAATATTTGTGTGCTGTGGCTGCTGCTGAATGGCTATTATTCCTGATTTGAATTTAGATGATCCAGATCTTGAGTGTTTACCTAGATGCGATGGTCTGCTAATTTCAAGTGTCAAGTGCTCCCCTTTTTTTCTAATTTTGTTTAGCTTGCAAAGAGGTGTCATGGCAACTTCGTGCCTCTGATTAAGGAACACGCTATGACATCTAAATGGAAAGGAGCTCTATCTCTCTCTCCACTGACTGTCTCTGGATACGACCCATGCTCTGTATATAAAACAGGGTGTCCACTTTGGATTCTAGAAGCAATTCTCTGGGAGAATTGGGTTCATGGTCAGACCTTTGTGTTTAAATTGAGTGAACTTTACTGACTGCATTACAAACTCTGAAAGTTCTCCCTGAAAACACCAAAGTGCCATTTGGGGGCATGTTGGGAATATTGGGCAGATTGCGAATAGGGACCAATAGCTACAAGTTATTGGGACAGAGCTTTAGGAGAATTTGTGAGCCTATGGTATAATGATCTAACAAGTTAATGAAGGTCAGAGAGATAAATCAGAAGAGAATAAATTACTGCAGCCTATTTGACTAAATATAGTAAAGCTATCGCCCCAAAACGTGGGAAAGAACTAACTCAGAAATGTAAGACGTGAAAGAAAAAAATAAGTTGTGAACACACATGGGTGTAGTGTGGCAAAATCTCACAGCAAAAGCTTTTTTAAAGAACTAAAATGAAATGTTAACATGTTCTTTTCCTTACTTAAGGATCATTTTAAATATTCATATTGGATGAAAACATGGAAGCAGCCAACTGCTGTCATTCATGCAAAGCGGATTTGTCACATTCCCTTTCTGAAGTTTAGCCAATATAAGTCCTGGAGAATCAGTCTAAAGTCCTTTGAACTGTTTTTGCTCATGAATCTGTAATGTCACACCGAATCAATCCGGTGAAGCAGATATAAGTTTAAGCTCTAAAAGGGTTCATACATTTTGCACTCCTTTTAACACTTGCTTCTGTTGAGAGTCTTCTGTGACTAGATGTCTTTGTCATCTATTGTGAGACTGAGGTTGTCACTCCGATGTGAGACTAATTTATCACTTTTGGTTAGAGGCAGCTGCATTAAGATTTCACTGGGAACCTGCTTTGGTGCGTTAAATCTTAATGTCCCAGCGCAAATTTTTCAAACGGTCTTCCGAAATCAAGTGACTTACTGGGAGACTGCAGATTGAGGGACACAATGAAGCGCACGATGGCCAAGACGGTGAGGTTCATGATGCTGGCAACCCCGAAGAAAAAGCCTGCCAGGCCGTAGTAAATACAGGAGACATCCCCCCCGAGCCAGTGGTGGCTCCAGGCAGAGGCGACAGCCAGGGGGTACATGGTGACAGCTGCTCCCAGGTCTGTCACTGCCAGATTCACACTCAGAAGCTCCGGCGGCTTCATCCTTGATGACCTTTTGAACGCCATGATGAGGACGAGCAGGTTCCCCACAATGGAGAGCACAGCTGTGACAGAAAGAGAAGGAAACAAGAGGTTGCAGGCTCAACAACGATCTCCCATTTGCATGCTAAAAACTAGCCCCAGAAGTGGAAGAATTTTAACGGCATACAAACATACGAAGCAAAAAACTTAAACTGATTCTTTTGTGCTGAAGGCGAAGAGTATTTTGACTAGTTGATTCCAAATATGAGTGAAACCTAAGAAACTCGTATGTTAAACAAAAATATTTTACAAAACTCTATTTTGGTCTCTGTAGTTAACCTCTGATAGTTATGGGGATTTTCTCAAAATGTCATGCAAGTCTCCTGTTTAAATGATATATCTGTGTATATATAAATATATATAGATATAAATATATATATTATATATATATCGGGTTGAAAAGATTTTAAAAAGGGCAATTATTGTTGACCTCTTATGTGTTATCGCTGGATTTTCAAGGTGCAGGGACTGCCAGCTTATGATTGTTCACAATACCAAGGCTCATAAAGGATGCGACCAAAAGAAACACTGAATAACAACCTATATCCCGGAATCTGACAGATAATTTCATAGCAATAAATTCTCTCCACTTATACAACATTGACTACATCAATGCAGAAGTCATGTTCTCCTGTTCTCCTTTGATTCATTCTCTAAATGTGAAAAAGCCCAGTGTCAGCTGAAGGCATGAGCTTATTCATCTAAGCTTACTGGGGCATTACCCACTTTATCATCTAGCACATCGTGATCCAAGAACATTCTTAAACTTTCTGTGCCGCTTCCAGACCCCTGATGCTCCGCTCTGTGTGACGTTCCATCTGGACCGACACGGAATGAACACGGACTCACACAGAATACACTTTTAAAAAACAGCCAAAACATCATCACAACCTGTGCTAGTAGAGCACGGATCCTTCAAGCGTGTGATGTGTATAGGGTGAGAGAAAGTGTAAAGCAAATAAAGGGCGGGAGGTGCTAAATGCATGACCTTTACTTGTAACAGTGTTTCCACACAGCAGCATTGCCAGTTTAAAAATAATATATACACACATGCCTTTTGAGTACAGAGCTAAAAAAAGCCAAAAATAAATTAGTCGTGATTAAAAAGTAGGAAACTAAAATGTCCTTTTAATACAGAAATTCTTATAGATTGCAGAGCTTTGCACCACTTTCTTGCTGCCTCTCTTCTCCAATCTCTGTACGTTTTGATCCCGTTTTCAGATGTGCCTTAGATTGTCCCATGCCACACAAATCTGGTGTTTAGATCCATGTTTTCTAAATTCACCTCAAATATGTGGATGTTTTCCTTTGTATTTTCTGTTAATCTAATCCCGCTGCACAGTAATGAAGGGGGCATTCTGGGACTTGGAGCCCAGAATCTGAAACGGATCAAAAGAATGTTTTTTTTTTTACACCTTTAATGTGTGAAAGTCATTATCACATCAGATTTTCCTATTTGACATTAAGTTGAAACACACCAATTACTGTTCTGAAATTGGAACATCGAACGCTACCAGTACTTATGCTCTAACAGGGCACTTTAGTTGTTGCCCTGCAACCCAACAAGGGCATATGGAGTACCTGACACATTCATACAGCTCTGAGGAAAGTATACACTTATGCTTTTATCATTCCAGTAATTACTGTCATTAAGTGGCTGACACATAAGATCAAGACATGAACTTATGAACACACTTTCATTTTCAAAAAGTCATAGATCTCTCCCCCTTAGCTTCCAGTGCATGGACAATAAACCATCACCCGTTGAAGTCTCGCAAAGGCACGGCAAGTCCATGGTTACAAAGGGTTTTCAGGTCCAATCAGATGCCTCTGCAATGGTGTTGCAAACAGAAAAGGAAACGAAAACTCTTCAGATTCTGTATTCCTAACATCCCTAACTGCCTTCTTCCTGGAATAGAGGCCCCTTTAGGATTTGCATGTTTGATTTTTAGCCTGGATTCCGTCTGGATCAGTCTTAACCATCAATAGAGTCCCTTAGCCTTGTTGTCTATTGAGTGCATTTGATATATGGCGTATGCAGTTTATAAGAAGCTCTATCAGGATGTTAAATAAGAAGCCGTGCTCACAGTGGTAAGTACATACAAAGGAAATTCAGACAACTCATGGAGTAGAATGTTCTTTTTACTGTGTCTACGTGGCCAAAGAAAAATAGCGGAGTGGAGATATTAGTGGAGATATTTTAATTAAGAGAGCTGTTGAAAACAATCTGCCATGATTTGATGTGAGCATTCAAACTATCTTCATTCAGTCAATGAAATAACAAAAAGCAACAGCGCTCACTTTTGTACTACAACTCCATGTCTTTTTCAAAGGTGACCTCGCTAGTTTGAAATGGTCTTTTCAACTGATAAATGCTCCCGGTAGATAGTCATGTAGGAAGTGTTCCATAGAAAAATCTGGCTTTGTGCTAAATGGGTGTTCAACATAAAACATATAAAAAGTGTAAGAACCTAAAAAGGTTGACTTACCTAGGTCGAGACTAATTAGTATTTTCTTAATTGTTTAAATCTCAGACCAAGACTTTTGTGTTCTCCAAACATTGATGTGTTCCCTAAACGTTGCTTCAACACAGTGCTTCAACATGTAAGCTCCTCTTTTCTGACTCTCTACCTCCCCAAAATTAACTTTGAACCCCAGACCTCCCACAGGATCCTCCGTGGAACTGTTAAAGCACAAAGCCCAGTGACCCGATCCACTTCCAGCTCAGTGAAAATCACTTTCAAAGAAGTGCACCCAAGCCAACCGCTCAAACCACTCCCTGTGCCAGAACAAAAAGAATCAATGGGGAAACACAACGTTAACCTCACTGCAAAGGTCTACAAGAATGGGTCTTTGACAATTCCACAGCCACGATCTCACGAGAGGGATGGAGAAGCTCACATTTTGAAATATCTTTGAAGCGCTTTTTGTCATGTAGATTTGAGTCATTTCTACACGTACTGTCTATCCAGCAAACATTTATTTACAGCAACCAACAAAGCAGCTCGGTGCATAATGTTTATACGCGCACTAGAAAAAGACAGACATGCTCCAGCTGTTCAATAAACTAATGGTAATCAGTACTTTGGACCAGATTTAAATAGACAGTATATATATAAAAAGAGGGATATTCTGTCATCCTGATCATTAGAGCTTTATAATGGTACAATATTGACTAAAGAGGATTATGTCAGAGATGGGGTATTGACTGTTATTGAGCATCATTAAGAAAATAAAACTATACAATTACATAACCAATACATGTGAAGTGTGCTGTATTGTTTCTTTACTTAATAAATCCATAGAAATGTAGAATTGTTTTAAGACCATAAAAGCATGAGCATGGGTGGATGGATGAATAAAAGCTTGATCTTTTGACCTTTACAGAGACTTTTTTCGAGTATTTAATCTCTACAATTATTATCTCTTTTTTTCTTACTATAATGCAAAATGAAAAGGACTGTTTGAATCCATGAGCTTAAGCCATATATTTAGAATGTTTGGTCTTCCAGATGTCTGGGCATGTTTAGGTGACTCAGATCAGGTAATACAGGTGACATATTTTTCCAATGAATGGATTGCAAATTAACTTTTCTAGGTGTCATTAAGCAGCTTAACCAGGCTGAGTAAGACAGAAACAGTGCCATTTGTCTTCTACTGATGCCATATATTTACTGACTCCATTTTCTATACCTGCTTTTGCCAATTCCAAATTGGAGCTTATCCACTAGCTTTATATTATACAACAGAAGGGGGTCAGTGAGATAAACAGTCATGCACACTCACTCACTTTTATTTGCAACGCAGATTCACCAAATAATTTAACATTCATGGATAGCTGAAGGAAGCCTGATTACTCTGAGATAACCCAGACTTGCATGGGGATTGCATGCAAATTCTGACCCCAACAGGAATTTTGACAAGGAACCTTCCATTCTGTGAAGTGACAATGGCATACAATACACTTGGACATGATATCTGGCATTAGTTCAATAAGCTGTTCCTTGTCATTCTTACTGTATATCTTTATATAAAAGATTTTTCATTGAAAGTCCCAGAACTGCAAGGTTGATTATGTAATCTTACACACCAACTCAAATGTTTTGTTCTCTCATTTTGAATCTAAAAGACCATACATGCTATCAAGTATGGGAAATGTAATCTTGTCGACTAATGTAATTAGGCCCAGTTTCAAGCCTAGTCCTGGTGGATTCTGACAAATGCACAAGACACAAACGCAAAAACAAAGAGAGCGAAAGTCCACAACTGGTTTGATGTTGTTCAAGGAATAAGGCTCTGAACTCCATTAGAATACTCTCATAAAAACACAAATAATTTACTTGAAATAACTTAATCAGGGCCCGGTACAAAAAGACATGACGATAATCACACAATTAAAATTCCCTTGAACATAAAAGAAAACCTGGGCTGCAAAGTAACAGTTTTCCTGTTTCAAATCCCGGCTGCGACATTGCAGCAGTATAGCAAATGGATGAATGGACAAATAAACCCACTAACCCGAAGTGAAATGACCACGACCTAACAGAAGGGCAGCGTATCCCCACAGAACTGAAGGGTCATTTAACAAATGACAAGGTGGGGAAATGTACTTTAAAACAGATTACATACCACCAAAATGAAATTATTATAGTGAGTTTGACTTGGTTAGATTTGTAGTATAATGATTGAATTCTCTGACAGAATTAAATTTCATCATGTAGTTACAAATTAGTTACAAATTCATACTCTAGCACATCTTTGTTATCAAGTTGCTGTGGCTTGTACTCATCCCATGATGCATACAATGACAATGCCATTTGAGATCAAGCTCATCTTAAAGTATCCTACTGTTTTTGTCGAAAACCTAAAAATCAGTTACAGGAAAAGCCTGACTGTTCTTTTTTTAAATGTGTCATGAACTTAAGCAGTTACAAATATCTCAAGGAAACGAGAGGACACGAGCTATGACAGGGACATAAATGCAACGGGCATCCTTTTTCTATTAGAAAAAACAAAATTCTCTTCACGAGGTGAAACCTCTATTAACTGATATCTTTCGATTTTGAACTTTCATCTTTATTGGTCCTTTTTCAGGGTGACAGTGGTCTGTGTTTGCTGTTATCATCCATCTTCCATTATGCTTTGTCTGTCTGTCAGTCTGCCTCTGCTTATCCAGGCTCTAGGCAGATGTAATGTGTGAAATAGCAATGGGAAGTGGGGTGGGTCGGGGAGAGGTACAGTCACTGTGTCTGTCATGCTAGCTGATTACTACAACTCCTGGAGCTTTGTCAGATGACAGCACTGCAGTGAAGACACGATGTGAAAAACATGCTGTGTAGCTCAAGGCTTCCTAAGATTAGCTTTGACTTTACGATCAGAAGTGTTGTATTGGAGTTAATACTTTTATTCATTGGTGTACGGCTCACATCTTGGTCAGCAGTAGAAAGTTATTTTTTTAGTTTGGTCTAGAGCTTTTTATTCTCAACACATGCCACATGATCAGACCTGGCAGGAGGGTTCTTTTTGCTGCTGGGTCTTATGTCAGCTTTGTGTAAAAAGGCTCTATGAGGCTCGATGAGGTATGTGATAACACGAGATAATTTCTTAAAGAAGTAATAGAAATAAGGAAGCATGCACACTTTTGTTTGTGTAAATCCACTCGTGTTATGCTTTAACATTATAACTTAGAGCCCAACCTTTACCTCAACCCATTTATAATCCTAATCCTAAAACCAAATCTTTATGTTCGAAAGCCATCTGGATCATGAAAAAACTTCTCATGTTATTTACTACTTGTTCACTGCCCTGAAATCCCTAAAGTGATATGAGCAATAGTGAGTTACACCGCTTATCTTGTTATAATACACATTTTAAGATGGGGAAGTCTATATCCTGGCATCATTGCCAACTAAATATCTTTTCAGAAAAGTCATACAACAATCAAGTAACAAAAGCACTGCTGCAAGCAGGTTTTCACAGCAGGACAATAAACCAGACAAACACTGCTTATAGAACAGGGGGAAAAAGTCTGAGGTGCTCACCCTGCCTTCACACTCCCTAGATACTGATTTAATGGGATCTGATGGCATCTGTGTGATGCAACCCCAAGCCACTAAAACCCAACTTCACAGCCCACTGGACAAAGTATATGTCACTAACATCCCGGAAGCAGACACTCCAGGACACCATCAGATGTTTTTCTTTCTTTTTTTCCCACAAAAAGGCCTTTTTCCTTTATTTAGGCAATGTCATCTGGTACATTCTTAGCCGTTCTCTGGTCCCTCTGTATCCTTAGATTCTGCATTTCCACAGTTACAACTGCTACTCTTTTGAAATCTTTTATTGTCTCTGGCTATTGCTCATCATCACTGCCATTAACACCAAGCACATTTAACTTGTATAGCTGCTGCTACACTATTTTTGTGACTATGCTTGAGTTCTGCAAAATTAAGAGACACAAAGTGATGCTGACATGATCAAAGTAAGCTACTAATATTTTCTTACCAGAACTAAAAGTAACAGCCTAATGACTTTAACTGATTTAAAATTAGTGGGAAAAAACAACACTTGCCAACATTTATATGATCTCCTCTATGTAACATTGTTTATTGAATCATGCATATTCAAGGACTTTTTACTATAAAATTATTTACATATTGTTCACAAGGACATTTCCCCCCATTGTATCGACTACTTATTTAGTTTATTAATCATGGAGTACAAATCCACCATTTGTTCAGAAGATGGCTGTGTGTAAGATGGTTGGACGATGTCCAGGGAAGTTACTGATTTTCATTTTCAGTAATATCTGGTCAAACATGCATATAACAGAAAACCACTTCCAACAGTTGTTCACTTCAGTCAGCACTGTTTGTGAAAGGCTTAAAGTCCTTAAACCATTTAGAATTCTAATTCTGGCCCTTAAACAAAATATTGACATTATAGGAGGATCTTATAAGATCTCCGTGGTAACAAGAGACTCCCATTTGTAGCTTTCCTGTCCCCACTAAGATATAAAAACAAAGAGACATCCAAACGTACAGTATTGCTTTGGTTAGCTGGCTGAGATAATTCCTATGGTTCACGTATCCCCACTGAGCCCTGACCACAAGCTCACCTAAAATCAACAGGAAAAACTGAAAGTACTTTCAGTAAACCTGGCTGTTTGAATGCGTAAGCCCTCATCAAGAGGTACCTTTCCAGTATTGATGATATAAAAAACGCACATATATTAGAATGCGCTGCAGTAGTTTCTCTGCATGAGTCACTTGCTAAACCTGAATTTATAACATTTATATGAATCCGACAGGTAGATTTCTCTCAGTTAAAAAAAACCCTCTATGGACGACCGCACTTCTATCTATCTCTGGGCAGAAAATGCACCATGAAAAAAGGGGAAAAAATAGAAAAGCTTAAGTCTTTTTGCAGGTCTGACAGTCCAAGGGAGAAAACGATGATGCTGGCAGCATTAAAAACCAAAGTGACACGGATGGAAATAACCAATTTAGTTATATTTACGCGCGTCATTCAACTTACTTAGAACCAGCAGATAGCAGCCTGCGCCGATGTCCAGCGCCGGCGACAAAGTGGAGGCGTAGATATCCATTGGAAAGGTGGAAAACTACCTAAAAGAGAAAGAAAAACGATCCTCATGAAATCTTGATGGAGCGAAGAAAAGTCTTAACGTGCCGCGGCTGGAGCTCTCCCGCGTCACATCCATCCGTCTGCGAGCAGCGCGCAAAGACGCATGAGGCTGCAGTGTTGCTCCCACAGCCAGCGGTTTGTGATTTGGGAGATCATGCGTAGTGGGCAGTGGTCCCAACCAACGTGCCCAGCCTTGAGGAGGAAACGCTGATCTCAGCTAAAGGCTGAGAACTGTCATCTCACAGAGACTACTATCAACAGTTGGATTAAAGAGAAGAACAGAAAAAATCACTTATTTCACATGAATGAAGCATTCAGACAGACAACATGTCTTAAAATGGCAACACTGGGAGTAATCAGTTAATTCAGGAAGCATTCTGGATTATGCTTCTGCATTCTTCGGATAGTGGATAATCATCTTATATATTTCCTCAAAGCTGGAGGGCCACATAACAACTCTGTGGTTACATAAAAGCTCCACTGTAAGACTTTGTGGGCTAATCTCAAATTCCTCATGCTCTGTTTCAGATTTACTGGTGGTATTAGATGGCATTATTGAATCACTTAATCATGATATTTAACCATTTTATCTTGACTAACTACGTTTTGGGATTTATGCTGTAGTGTATAGGCTTATTTGCATTTTTGTAGCTGGTGCTCCAATGTGGATATTATATCTGCCACAAGGGCCAGAGGAGTCATTTTTCAGTCTACACACTGAAATAACGGAAAACATGACCTTCGCCTCTGAATCCTAAAATGCTGGTTTAAAACCTCCATCCTGTAATCTGTCACTTTCTGGTGCCTTGACAAAATATGTCTCCAGGGGTCACTGCACTTTGAAGAGCTTTAGCAGCGTAGGAGCTTTGGAGTTGCCTCCTTTGCATCTTGTTAGCAGAATGGGATGGACGGTGGGTTTATGAATTCACCACAGCAGTATTCGGAATCTTTATTAATTGCATTAACCTGTTAGCGCTTTGCTTGGGTAGCTTTGGAGAAATATAACTGAAACATTTCTAACGATGACTTTGTGTTTGTTGGGCAAAAATATACCCAGGTGAAAGAATACGTATGAAAATATTTGCCAAAAATCAATGATCCCCAGCGCTATTCATCCAAATAATTTGCATTTATTTCAATAGTTCTCATTCCAGGTTTTGTTTTTTGTATTTCGAGTCTATATATCATTGCCACCGCCTGCTGCACACCTCCCCAGGAATTAATTATGGAGAGTCAGTGTCCACACTCTCCAGACAGCCTGTCAGGCAGGACATCCAGGATGATAAGAAAACAGCTGGTGAGTGTAAATAGTACATTGTGAATTTAGGCAAAGTTTATGAGCCCAAAGCCCTCAGAATAATTACTTTATGGTTATTTTTTAGGGATTCAGAAATGTTTGTGGAGATGGAAGGAGCTATCTTAAGACCCTGAAAAGCTTTAAGAGCCAGCTCAAAAGCCTGATAACTGGATGATGTATCTCAAATTAAGCGAAAATGCGCCGATATACCCTCTATCTGATGTGTATTAATCAAAATCAGGTTTATTGCCAAGTAGGTTTTCAGACTTACAAGGAATTTGCCTTGGTGTTTAGTGCACAACACAACACTTCTATGAGAAGCAAGAATAAAATGTAGAAATAAAAATATAGGACAGAATGATAAAACTGGAAAATACAATCTTTAAAAATGATTTAACCTGATTTATGTTCAAATCGTAGCTTCTTTCAACTCTCTGAACGATTTAAACAGCCAATTGACAAAAAATCTAATATTTTTTTGTTTTTCCGTCTTATTTTTCTTAAAAGATGTATTTTTTGTATAAGTCATCATTATAAGATAGTTAGTTAGTACTAAAGGAGCGACATTTTTCTGTTTATAGATGCATTGATGTGTAGGACAACCTAGCACTTCTTCTTGAAATATCATAGAAGGTTCTTCATTTAAAAAAAGGACAGACAGCTCGTGCTCTCAATCACAGATTAATCTCCTTAAAATGCAATAGTTCAGTTTATTGCTTTTTCACCCTACACATATGGCTGCTCCATCTGAGACGAGGAAATGAAGAACAACTTTGGTCTCCATCCCTTTAGATAAGATAAAATGAACTAATTTCCGTATTGTTTTCTAAAGCTGATTTACTTCTGTCACTTACTCAGCTTCTTTTTATGGCTATAATAATAGCCAATACACACAAGGTGAGCCCAGAAGCAGACTGACGCAAGCCATAGGAGGGAAAAACTGTTTATTATGAGTAGGATGAGTCCACAGTAAATCCAGTCCGCCGAGCATCTCTACAAGGACAGAGCTTGTAAGCTTGGGCAGAGTTTGAATAATGGACATCTGTTCTTTATGCACTTACTAATTTCCCAGGAGGGGTCCAGTGAGGGAGGGGTTAGTGGAGTTATTGCAGACTGTGGTGGGGGAAAGTGGAACTGTTTGTAGTTAGCGGTCCAGCTGGATTAACAGGATCTTTGGAAAACGCGGCAGCACTGGAGACGCACTTAGAGGCAAGGTTAAGCAACGAGAGCTGTCTAATAAAACTGCTTAGGCTGGATTACCACATAAAACCTGAGACAATCTGACCAAGAGTGGAGCTCCTGCAGTTCTTTAAAAAGTCGGCTCTGGGGAGCGCATGCTGGATGGAGCAATCCAGACTTCCTGGATACCTGCTCAGCCCCACCTGGAGCCAAAACACACCCAGCCAAGCACAATTCTGACTCTTCAGTTATGGATTAGGATGTCTGTCTTTTAGAGTGTATCCTGTGAGGCTCTGTGCTTTTCACAAAGTGGTGTGTAAGAGATTAGAAAAGAAAATGTTTTTAAAAGCCTGAATCTAGAGGCATTTTTTGAAAAAGCCTGTGGTTAAATGTCCATTTGAGTTATCAAGTCAAATCTATATTTCCTCAGATATTTTTGCCAATCTGCCATATAAGTGTTTAGTTGGTAATACTAAAGGGAAGAAAATTGTCACTGTTTGTTCTGGTAATGATATTTTTCATGAACATTGATTATAGGCTCACACATGCAAACTTGACTGTTGACTATAACCAATACTATTGATTCCAGCTGTAATAATCAGACAACTAGATCACAGAGTTGCTCCAGGACATCTGGCATCTGACAGAATGCTAAAAGAAAGAATTCAGCACACACAAAAACACACTCTCAGTTAGCTGACTAAGTAACACAGCCATCATGCCATTGTTTTAAATTGAAATATTGACTATTCAAATTTCCATCTGCACACATCTTAATCCAGATTTTATAATACGAGAACATAATGAGATAATGTCCAAATTATGACTACAACCAGGACCTCCTTATATATCTAAGCACCCTCAGGTTACAAATGTCAAGCCACATGACGGAATATTTGCGCACCACTTCCATTATCTGTGTCACAGAAATTATATGAGGAAAATTACTGCGCGGCTTGCAGTAGCATTACAATTGTGTGCAATCGTGACAATCTGACCACAAGCCTAACACCCCGCGGGCTTCTCACTGCGAATAAATGCAGCTATTTTTGCCCTTGATGTTTTTTCAAGGAAACACATCGAGTGTGTCCCCGGGGTCCGTGTTCAAGCCACATGTCATGAAGCATTTCAAACTCCTTTTCTTTAAAGTGGCTGCAGTTTGCTCTGCTTTCATAGCATGCACCACGTTTTTCCTCATTCTCCCTGACATGTCCACTTGTTTATTCTTCCTGGTTACTGGTCGCTCCACTAAAGCAGCGCTTTGTCTACAGCGCCTGCTATTTGTCTCTTTCCTCTTCCCTGATCGGATCTTCACTCAGTGTGTGTACACACACTTCTCTGGCCTGAGACTATTTACAGTATTTCTTTTTTTTTAGATCAAATTACTTTAAAAAAAGATCCATTTTGTTTTTTGTCAACCGATATAATCCTTCAAAATCCTGTTCAACCATTTGATCGAGCCCTTTTTTCACTGATTAAATTTGGTCATAGGATATACTGTGGGACGTACACTCACCTAAACTGGCCATTAAATTAAGTTTAGGCCCACACATTGACCATAAAGTGGCACCCCAACCATCTGTGAAAAAAGCATTGATTCTAATCCTAACCCAAAGAAAACAAAAGAAAAAGCAAAGTGCATTTCACATCCTTATCTCTAAGTGTAGCTGTTAAAGGGTGTGTCAATTAGGTGTTGGCGACATTAAATGTTAGGGGTTACATTTTTATGTTTAGAAATTGCGACAAGTGTCAAGGTAAAGTCTTCAGTCAAACTGACTGATGGCCTCTGTTCTCATCCACAGATTTGGAAGAGGACATCATGACAAATGAGACAATAGGCTCATTGCCTTATTTTAAAAATAGAACTTAAATGTATGTGTGTCTTCCGATGCCATGAGAGCTGTATACGAGTAGTAGCTATGGCTGCTATCAGGACCAAAATTGGGATCGTGATCAAGAAACTGTGCAGAGTTTGGTTTGGTGTTTTCTCACAGTTTCTGATCATATAAACATTTCACTGAGCAATTCTGCTTCTCTTTCAGCTTGAAATAAAAGACAAGGCGGCTTGATAATACAAAAATACTTTGCTCTAACAGAGTTTGCGCAATGTTATTTCTACTACTCGATGCTGCTCCCGAGAAGCTCCTTGGTGACCACTCTTGCATTGATATTGACATATCAGAAATAGAATGACTTATTACAAGTTGTTTTCTTTGGTGGAAAAGGCTCTTTTTGACTGAGGAAGTCATCCAAGCAGTAGCAAGGATTTCTCTTGGAGACTATTCCCCTGATCTGTGAAAATAGTGTTGCTGTGTTCCAAACAGCAGAAGCTTTTCCTTTTCTCTTCTGTTGGAGGTTGCTTGGAGAACATTACACAGCTGGGGCACTTCAAGAACAATCTAAACTTTCAACCTTATTTCCAGACGACAAGCTTTCTGTGACGCAACATTTGAAACAACAAATCAAAACTAAATGTCTGTCAATTT